AATTTTTTTTAAACTTAGATGGGTACATAGATAATAAAAAAAAATGGAAGCATTTAGTTAAAGTATTAAGATTAAATTAATGGGAAGGAGGTACATTATGCTAAATCATGATGTTCAATTACCAATGTTTTCCATGTCTCATCATCTTGGTTGATCTTTTGTATACAGCCCATGTGTCTATGTAACCTAAAACATTTCTTGACATAGACTGTTCATTTGTTTAGCAGGAAAAGGGAAAAGGTTATTTAATTGATAATTATTTATCAAATTTTTTATATAAAGGACTCAATCTGAAATAGAAAAATAGATTGTAAGTGTTAAATGGCCCCATTTATTGGCTGATGATTTAGTCTTCCAAGCCAAAAGGAAGGACTGAATAGCTCTAAGAAACCTTTTATTTGTACCAAATGACTTGTCAAATTATTTTGTCCAAGCCCCTTTTAACATTACACTGAATATGTTTGAAGGAAATATAAAGTTAAGGACACAATGTTCCTCTTTTAGGGCAAAAAGTTTATATTTGATGAAGTTGATAATCACTAGCATTGTCCCTATCCTCATCATCAGATCCCTCACATTGTCATGAACTATAACTAGAATGGTCCCTAAATTTTTGGGGTATGATCAAAGTCAGGCAGAGAGACTAGCTAGAAATATGGATGTCATTAACACTCCAACTCACTGAATTGGACAACTCAACTATCTTAAAACCTTTGTGGATAGAAAAAAGATGTGATGAATTGCTTCTAGGGGAAAAGGTGATTCCAGCCAACTAAAGATACATGAATTTTATAATCCTAGTGCATTTCTATGAACATATCTTTTATACTAGAAAAGATGGAAACCAGCCTGCAACCTTAAAATGGATATAGGGGAGCTTTCAGCTGCAACCTCAAGATTATTTTAGTTTTGAGGTAATCATAGGCTATGGAAGCCTAAAACTCAGGACCAGGTTTAATTTAGAAGCTTTTTGTTGTAGTTGGAAGACAGGTTGTCTGAATTCTGAAAAATAAATCAATTGCTCTTATACTCTCTTTCCTGCAGGAGTGTTTGGCATAGCTTTGCAATTGAGTCAGCTTTTTACCTAAAACTATTCATTTCAGAATTATAATAAAGCTTACAATTATGGAACATGAAGGCACATAGTGGACTGACTGCAGAAAACAGCTTCTAATAAACTTGTTCATTGTGCTTTAATTACATAAAAAAAGATGATCCAGTACGTAAAGCTCCCGTTATGCATGGAGAAGGGTCGGACCCAAGGTCTAATGTACATATATAGAAAGAAAAATGGTGGCTGAAGCTGGAATTACTGGTAACATTTCTACTTTATGACTCTTCACTTTGACTATATATTGCAGCCAAAGGTGCAGCAGGCACTTCAGTCACGCTCTCTTGAGTCTTGAGACACCTTCAAACAGTACTAAAGAAGTGGATTGGTTGTCACTTGAGAAGCTTGCCTGACTCTTAAGTTGTATGTCACTTCATTAAAGAAATTTTATGAAACTCAAACATAGTAATTAAGAAATAGAGTAAAAAATCACAGTGAATTAGGGTTAAACCTTACGTGTCTTTACGATGAAACACATCAAACTTTCATCTCTAATCAGCCTAATTCTACCATAGCCCATAAGTTTCAGAGGACTTTGTCACAATCTTGGGAATATCTCATTGGCCATAGTTTAACTGAAATGGGTGCTTTAAAGTTTGAACCAGACTTTAGAAACTTAAGGATCACCACAACCATGGGACTTGGGACCCAACATCATACAAATCTCAGCCCCTTGAGTTTTGCCCGATATATAAACTTCATAGCCCATTGAAAAAAAGAGTTTTCTATTCTATCCTGTATCTGGATGCTGGCTGCTGCCTATGAGGGCTGGGCCACAGAATTGCTACTGCCTACTTGGTGATATAAAAAGTAAAAAACTGTTGTTTTAGCAAAGTTTAATGGACAATATTTTAATGGAAAGTGATAATGTTTGCGGTTGTCAGCCAGGTTACAAACTTGATGCCATTTTTGGTCATAGTATGCAGCTGTTAGTAGCTCCCAAAATCCTTCCATTACAAGAACTGACTTCGATTAGTAGGTATCTTTTGCAATAAAGACAAACCCCTTGGTGTTTAAATATTTGGGTTGGTAAAAGTTTTACCTTTTTTAACAGAAAAATGGGCCATTAAGATTTCAGAAATCAACATATTCACATAAACAAAATGAGTTTTTTTTTTTAATAGAAAGCTGAAATAAAAAGGATGCACTGGAATTGACTAAGAGCCCCGTTTATCTACCTTTCTTTCCTTATTGCTTTTACATTTTTTTTCTTTTTTAAAAAGAAAAAAATTTTGTTGTTAGTAGTTCTAAGATCTTTTAGTATTGGGTGAAAATTACTGAAAAGAAAAAAAAACTTATGATCTTCATCATGGTATTTTTGAATATAACATAAGAAATATAAAAATACATAAACAATCAGTATAATTTTCATCATCTTGAATAATGAAAAAAATGGGTTTCTGGATAACTAGTAAATAAAAATATTATGGCCCCCAAAAGTAAATACGATGGATTTTCTATACAAGATAATCATATTGGTAGGACCCCATAAACAGGGCAGCTTGACACAATCAAAAAGAAGTAGGAAGGAGTACAAATTGTGCTCTAAAAATGGAAAATCTCTGTCAACACTCACCACCAACTGCACCATATATTTTCCACTAAGCAATCATGTTTACAAAATATGATTGGAAATTCAATGTTCTGGCCAACCAAATATGCAATTGTCTATCCAAAATCCTCCTTTTGCTTGTTCTTTTTTTTTTAATTTTTTTTTGTCCTTTTTTATTATTTTATTATTATCCCCATATCCTATATATTTAATCAAACAAATTAAACTTTAATGATCAGTGAACAGAAAAAGAGAGACAATGGATTCTGCACATGAAACAGTGATAATCGAAGGAGATACTTTAAAAAATTTCTAATCTTGGGAACAAGATTTTTCTCTCATTGGACCTATTATATATGAGGCAAGAAGCAAGATGAGACGCTTCCATACCTGCTCTTTAATGCATATAAATCGAAATGGAAATGTTGCAGCACATAAATTAGCTAAACATGGATTGGGTATCAATGAAGAGACGTATTGGATAAAGGATATTCCTTCTTTCTTTCATGATTTCATGTTTGATGTTTTTATTTAGATTCGATAGTTAAGCGTCAAAAATTAAAATTTATATATTTATATTATATTTTATATAAAAATTATATATTATAATTCATATCAATTAAAAAAATATAAAATATATATTTAATTTTATTAAATTTATATATTATTACTATTAAAATTTTAAATTATATTATTTTTATATTTTATTTATATCATATTTTAAATTATCAATTTTATTTTTAACGCCACATTAATAAATTATTAAAGTATTTTATTTTTAAAATAACTCAAACAATATTTGCAACTCCTTAATTTTGCCTCGGAAGCTGCAATTATACCGTGGGCCATCACATGCTAATCTATGAGATACACCATATCGAGGGGCAGATCCGCCGATCTACATTTAATAATCCGACTTAGGGTCTTCTTATCTACCGTACACGTGTCTCTCATCTATCGTTAACTATATGCCACCGCACGGTATCATTTGTTGGGTCAACGGCCCACCTTTATCTTTTGCCAAGGGAAAGGGTACTCCGGTAATTGCACAACATCTTCCCTTCGATTGGTCGATTGGACAAATCTTTGAAAAGTCAAATTATGATTCACTACTTAATCTTTACTGTTTAATACTAACGAAGGTTTCCATTTTGAGAAATATTTATTATCTGTCAATGTAAATAAATATGATATGAATATATTAAATATAAAATATTAAAATAATATGATTTAAAATTTTAAAAATAATTATATATAAATTTAATAAAATAAAAAAATTTATATACTGATATTGATATAAATTATTTTATGTAATTTTTATATAAAATATAATATAAAAATCACTAAATATAATATTTTTTATATTTTTGTCCTTCTCATTCCTCACTCTTCTATCAATACTATTGCTATGACATCTTAATAATTTCACTTAAAATTTTATAATAAAATAATTAAAGTTGTACCTAAATTTATTAAACAATTAGAAAGTAATGTCCTTGCAATATGGCTAAAAAAAACCTTTTCAACTTGTCCATACAAAAAAAAAAAAAAAAGAAAAGAAAATATATGACGGGATTTTTAATACGTGTAAAGGTAATAAGAAATCAAAGTTACCATGTCACTCCATCTTGTTGATCATTGGACACTAGGATAGATAAATTGTAATAAGATGATAATTTCACAATAAATAATTTAATTTAATAATTTAATGAAACACTTAAAAACTTGAATGAAATGTGTTTTTTATAAGTTATTTAGATTGAATTTGATTCATTAATAATCAAACCAAATTTAAATTATTATTAATCAATTATACAGATAATTAGATAATTATTTTGTAGCGGAACATTGTTTGATGATTTTGAATAGTTCAAGTAAATTATTACTCAAATTTGAATATTAAAATGAAACTTGGTAATACTTAAATGTTGTAAAATATTTTTTAATTACATTTTGATTAAAATAACATTTAAAATTAGAAGTATAATAATAAATTAACTCAAAAAAAAAATATAGGAATTAAATTATAAGAATTGAAAGATAAAGTGATAAATTTGAATCATTCAAATAAATAGTGATGGATTTATCCTTATCCAAAATAAAAATTAAAAAAAAAAAAAAGAAATTGTAGTTGTGCCTATTTGGGTGTCCATCACAAGCCATACGGCGCTAACGTACTCAATCGAAGCCCAAGTCAAAAATTACGGTTAAACTGCTCCACAGAGATCAAGGGTATTTACGTACTTTCTTACTCTCCGCGATGAGGACGCGAAGTTGCGTAGGCCATAATTATTTATCAACGTTCATATTTAACATTTCATTTTAATACAAAAAAAAAAAAGAAAAAAGAAGAAAAAATTAGAACGTAAAAACAAAAATTTCTCTGTTTCTATATAAACATAACAAGGAAAACGCTACAGCGGAAAATTATTATCAGACATTGCAAAAACCAAAGAAAAAAAAACACATTTTTCTTTGTTTTCTGTTCTGTCTTCCTCTTTCCAGGTAATCATTTTCTCTCTCTAGATTCTCTCTTTCGTTTTATTTTTATGGATATTTGAATGCTTTTTTTTGGGTTTAATTTTAATGAAAAACAAGATGTTTATATATTTATGAGTGATAAATTTATTGAATTTTCTTTGATTTAATGCTCTAGGAATCCTGATTTGAATGGTAAAGGTCTTTTTTTTTTTTTTAGGAAAATTTTTTTTTTAAACTTTAAGAAAGGCTAACGGTAAAAATTTGTTTTTTGTTCTGGTTTTTGGTAAAATTTTATAAATTTGGCCAATGGAAACCTTAGTATGTTTGTTTTTGTGATCTGGGTTTTCGTTGTTTTCTTGTTTTGTATGGTAATAAAGATCGATGATGATAAATAATAGGTAAAAATGGTAGTTTTTGTTTTTTTTTCTGAAAAGATTTGTATTTAATTTTCCTATCCAATTTGAGAAAAGCCTAAGGAAGAAACAAATGAATTGTAGAATCTTTGAATTTATTTGGATTTGATAATGGTTTTTTGTGAATCAAAGAAGATTGATATTCATTTGGTTGAATAGGGATTAATAGTTGGGTGTTTTCTTTTTCTTTTTGGGTGCAAGAACAGATGGTAAGAGGAGCGAAGGTTGGTCATAGAAGCAATTTTAAAAAAAGGGTTAGATCCAAAGGTGAGGGTTCCGATGATTCAGATGAAGATTATGTGGTTTCGGAGGAGGGAAATGAAGAATCTGATGATGATGCGGAAGATTATTGTTCTTCGTTAGATGAATGTGCATCGGAAGAGGGTTTTGGGAGTTTTGTTGATGACGAGGATGAGGAGGAAGTGAAAGAGGTGAGAAAGGTTGTTAGGTCGAAAGCTAAGAGGATGTCTTCAGCAAGGAACAGGAAGATTGTGGATAGAAAATCACGAAAGCGGAAAAGTGTATCAGATGAAGAAGAGGAAGATGAGGATTATGAGGAGGAAGAAGAGGATGAAGATGATGATGAGGAATTCACTCTGGATGAAGAAGATTGTTTGGATGAGGAAGAGGAATTGACAATTGAAAAGAAGAAAAATAATATGAAAGTTAGCAAGCAAGGTTTGCAGAAAAGGGGTCCTTCCAAACATAGGAAAAAGATGAAGTCTGCAGTTTCTAAGAAGCCTTTGAGAAAAGGAGGAAGGAAGAAACGTCGGTTGAAAAGGAAAAAGAGGGTTGAGGAAGAAGATGATGATGATTGGGATTTTATAGACAATGCTCCAATTGTGAGAAAAAAGTGCAGAACAAATGCAGGACGGAGAATGAAGGCATATGTTGTACCATCAGATTCAGATTTTGTGTTGTCTGGATCGTCTGATTATGAGTATACCATCTCAGAGGAAGAGAGAGAACAAGTGAAAGAAGCCAACCAATTGTGTGGAAGTTTCAAAGCTAGTTTGTTGAGTTCATCATCCTCAAAGAGAATTCCGGAGGTTGAGGAGTTAGGCCAGCATAAGAAACCTCCTGGAAGAAAAGGTAAGGAGAAGGTAGAGGAAACAAAAGCTGAAGTAATGAAGCCGGTTTGTGGCATTTGTCTCTCTGAGGAAGATAAGCGAAGATTGAGGGGCACACTAAACTGTTGCAGTCATTATTTTTGTTTCACCTGCATTATGGAGTGGTCAAAAGTGGAATCTCGTTGCCCTATATGCAAGCAAAGGTTTGAAACAATCAGTAAGCCTGCAAGATCAACAGCAGGAGCTGATTTGAGAGATGTGGTGATTCAAGTCCCCAAGCGTGATCAGGTATGTTATATTTCTCCTCATAATATTTTTCTGTAATGGTTTTCATTTTCCTCGCTTTATATCTTAATTTATGGTTTGAAATGGGTATATTTGTTGTATGCAGGTCTACCAACCATCTGAGGAAGAACTCAGAAGCTATCTTGATCCATATGAGAATGTGATTTGTTCTGAATGCCACCAAGGTGGGGATGATGAACTCATGTTACTATGTGATCTTTGTGATTCATCAGCTCACACCTATTGTGTTGGTCTTGGGCGGGAAGTGCCTGAAGGTAATTGGTACTGTGATGGTTGCAGGCCGGTTGCTCTTGGGTCCCCTAGTTCCCAAGTTCAAGATTCTTTGCCGGATCAAAGGACAATAAACAGTTTGTACAATAGATTGTCACCCATTGTAAATTTAGGAGAAAGTTTAGACTCCATCGTAGTGCCTTCCCCTCGTACGCCGTTACATTCTGGTTTTGTGGGTCTTTCATCTCCTAGATTTCCTGTTGTAGATATTCCAGCCGTTTCTCCAATATCTGGAGTGGGAGCTCCAACTCTGACAGGAAGACGATGGTTACACCGCCAGATTCAAAATCTCCGTTCAATCAACAGGATGAATCTTATGGCTGGGAGAACTGATGGGATATCAACTGCCAATATGGGCATTGATTTTGTAAACTCTCACATTGATCGGAGTAGGGAAACAACAGTTCAACAACCTAGGACACAAGATATGGGAACCCAGCATCAAACAGTGTTTGAGGAGAGGTTACAGGATGATCCCTCTTCTTCGCTGCAAAGTAGGGACTTTTTTTCTTCAAGGTTGGGCCATTTGAGAAGGCAAGCAGTTCAGGATTCAACTACCACAACATTCAATAATTCCGTCAATTTGACGTTGTGGCCTGAACTTGCGGGTATCAGTTCAAATGAGCAACTCAATCAGTGCAGCAATGGATCAAACATTGGGCCTGATGGTTGTGGTTCACCTTTTCCCGTTAGAAATGAGGATAATTTTTTTATGGCCAAGGAACAATTGCAAGGAATGGTTAGAAGCCATTTGAAAGCCTTGTCCAATGATATTGATTTAGGTAAGTGAAGCCCTGTCTTTAATTAAACTTTATATAGGGGATATTTTCATGTCTAGACTTTTTAGTCTGCAGTTTTCACATTTCTAAACTGCCCAACTTTTATGCATAAATCATTAGTGTGTTCACTCTGTCTTTCATTTTGGTTTTTTATTCACATTAATGTTTGTGAATGATTTGTAGTAGTGATTAATTGAGTTCCTTCTTGAGCTTTTGGAAAATTTTTAGACTGCTTTTTATGTATGTATATGCAGACAACGGTACTTTCAAGGACATAGCAACGAGTTCGATGCACACCTTATTGGCTGCTTGTGGGCTTGAGCATAGGAGGAATGAGGTTCACATTGTGCCTCCGCCATTAAATTGTACACATATTGAAAGACTGGCAGCTGGTGGACAGGCTAGCTTAATGAAAGGTTGTTGCTTAACTTGTTTCGATTCTTTTGTAAAAGATGTAGTGAAGAGGATCATGGATACAAGATCCAGGCAGTGGCTAAGTTTAGGTCTTTAAATCTTTGATGTAGTGAACGTATCGCTCTGCATACTTTTTTTTGGTTAGGAATTAGAAACAAATTTTTTCAAAAAACATTTCAAAGGTGATTTATACTTAAAATTCACTGACATTGAGCGCAAAAAGTGCTCTATTCTCATTTGATCACCATGATAGATTGTTTAGGCTGGGCAAAGTCAAAACTTTCTAGCACTGACTGAATACTGATTACATTTACTGCTTTAGTAATTCCCCTCGTTTTACCTTTACTTTCTCTTTCTTGTCTCTCCCTCCGATTGTGTGTATGTCTTGTCCTTGTGATTTTGCATCTAGTTTGTGATTGGAAGTATGACAGTGAATGCTACAGCTTTGATAACCAACGAAGAGAGCCATTTATACGTAACCACTTAGGTCCAAAGGCATGGGTAAAGTATAAGTTTGATGTGCTATTTTCAGACACTGAGTTAACGAATTGCTATTGCTACAACTTTGATAACCACCGATATGCATGTTAGTGTTATTATGCCTTTTAGGCAAAATGAGGGAAGCTTAAACTCTTACTAAAATGCATCATATCATGCTTTTGACAAAAATTTTGCATGTTCTCTTAATTTTCGTGAAAATCATGCCACACTTATGCCTTAGATATATTGAAATGATTATTTGCAATTAGCAGCATTTGGTTTTGATTTACCATAAGAGCTTTGCCTTGACGATATTGGAAAAGGGTTCAGAATCTATAGCATAGTAATGAGAAAAACATGTGTCTCCACCAATCTGGATGCACCAGGGTCAAAGATCAGGTTTTCTGTTGTTTTACTTTGGAAGTTTGTTTCCCACTGGAAAGGGCAAACATACAGTTGTTTCAGTTAGAAGGTGCCTTTGTTCCTTATTAACTAATTTTACATCCTAGGTTGCAGGATAGAGCCATTTTCTGTTATCTTCTCAGCTTTTCATTGCTAGACTAGTCAAAAACTAAATAACTGGTCCTCTAATTTCAAATATTTCTGCATTACATCAATATTCTTTTAGATCAACAAGTTCCCTGATGATCATGCTGCAGCAGCTGACAACACTCATTAAGGCCAAGCTCAATAACTCTTTGATGTGGAACCTAAACAATCTCAGCTCTTTATGTTCACATCCTGAAATGTCCTATCCTTTTTACGACAATTCTTTTTTTTTTTATATTTAAGGCTATCAAAGATAGAATTTGGATAACTAAGAGTTTTAACATTTTTCCAATAAAATCACATAGAAAGACTAGACTTAAAAGCATAAGAAAACTTGAAAACTGATGAGTGTGCAATCTCCATTGCAGGAAATGAGTATAGGGGTTCAGTCACTTTCTTATGTTGGAAATTAATTACTGTTATAAGGACCTGATCATGCCTAACAACTAAAAGTTGAGATGCACCCTAAATAACCCTTATTCCAACCAACTTCAGAAGCTTAACGTGGGCCCAATTTGGGCCCGAATGAAAAATGAGGCCCTAAACGTAGGCCCACATTTGCCCCAAATTCAAGACTAGCATGGTTTGAGACGAAATTATCAATGTTGAAATCAAATCGTTCTCACATCGCTGTAAGATATTTTAAAGAAGGGGTCCGGGCATAATCATTCATTTTATCATCTTGTTGAAGCCATTCAAGAGGTGCTCAAAGGTAGCTGGGATGGCCAAATGGAGTCTCAATCAACTGCCTGACTTGAATGTCTTTCATGATCCACACCTCCTGGGATTAAAATGATCCTCAATGCGGATGCTGCTGCTGTGGCATGCCATATCCTCTGCTACTCGGGTTTTTGCTCTGTATTACACCAAAAAAAAAAAAAGGTACAAGTAGGCTCAAATGAGAAAAGCCACCAACGATTGCAGCTACCGCCATGGTAGAAGACTACAGCTAGCACCGATGACCACCGTGGACACTGCATGAAACTGTCTTTGAGGGTAGGTCAATGGTTACCGGCCAATCGCTCTTCATCACTTCAAAGTAAGACTTGTTTTGAACTAGCCATTTGAGAAGGCAAGCAGTTGAGGTTCCATCAACTACGACTATGAATTTGACATCATGGCCTAAAACTGGGGTCATCAGTGCAAATGAACAGATTCCATCAGTGCGGCAATTGATCTCTAACATTGGGTCTCATGGTAGACGATTACCCTTTGCTCATGTATACTCAAAAAACATTTTCGTTCTCAGGAACGAAAAGCTGAAAAAGCATGCAATCTCCAGTTGAGGAAAGCACTATACGAGTTCAGCCACATTCCATGTGTGGACTGGAATGTAAGAACTTGAAAACCACACCATTCTTGGATTTAAATTGTTTTTCTTCTTTTTAATATTAAAAGATGAAGTGGAAATCATGATCAGGCCTAACAACCAAAAGTCCACATGCAACATAAAATTACATTCATTCCTACACCTTATTCAACAGTTGCTTACTACATCAAAATATGCACTACAAACAGCGCAACAAACCATAGATTGCAGGGCTCTTCGCCACGAACCCAATGTCCATGAGGGATTGGGCTCCATAATTGCAGCAAAGGCTGAATCCTCTTCACAAAATATCATCAAGAATTGTGGACAAGAACAGCCCTTGAACAAACTCACATCTTTTTGCCTTCTCTTCCTGATCCTTGACTGAAAGGGGAGATGACTGCACATTTCTGTCATCAAACTCAAATATCAGAATGACAGAGCTGATAAAGGCCTAAAACTCGCCATACAAATAAAAAGACACTGTTGCAAAGATATACTTCTAAAAAGAATAAGTAGGACAAACACAAAATCCCCATGTAGAAGTTCATCCCAGAAGTTAAATTCAACAGTGATCATAGAAGGTTTCCTTTGATTAAGGTTGTAATACTAAAAGCCTGATGTGAACTATTTAAATAAATAAACAAAAACTGAGACGACCAAAATGAATCTCATCCCCTTCCTCAAAGAATGGCATCAAGTCTCATCCCCAAATACCTCATATGTCAGAAGATAAAGCCATGCCAAGACATGGTGTCCTTGACTAAAGACATAGTTTGGACCAGCAACGCAGATATCACTCTGCTAAGTTTTGCTTTAACAAAATATAAGTTTTGGGGTTGAATCCCCAAGTACATGATATGATCCTGAACATCTTGTTCTAATAATAAACACAGGCATTTTTATATGCCATTGTATAAAATAAAGTCATTGCATGTTAATAAGAGTAAAATGTTGAATTAGCCCCATCTTCTCAAAAAATGGCTTGAAAGATGGCTTCTCATTGAGAGACAAAAAAGAGAAATAGAACCACATTTGCATGCCCTTTTCACAGGGTTGAACCATCTGAGATGTCCATTACAGACAAGAAGCCTATGACAAGATCCATTAGTTTATCTAGGATTGCAAGTAAATAACCAGATAAAAGACCATGCACTTTCAAAAAACACCTGCCTCAAGCAAACAGAGGACAAAAGGAAAAATCAGATTTTAAACACAGTGAAACTTACCTTTCTGACTTATTCACGTCTGATCTTTTCTTAGTTGTGCTTGTTTCGTTAGAAAAGTGAGGCTGGACACTAACAAAATCATCAACCATGGGTAAAATAAAAGAAGACAACAACGGATCAGGTGCTGAACTGGATGAAGACACTATACAAGAAGAACCCCCAAAGAGGGACTGTAGGTTTCCTTCTCGCAGCTCTTTCTTCAGAAGAGAAAGTGTTGAATGAGATCCACCTTTACGTGATTTCCTCTTGCGCTGCATGTGACCACTCGTTAAGGAAATGAAAATATATAAGTCAAGTCTTTAGAATGATGTAACAGTCATACAAGGAAGCCTAGAAAACAAAGCTGGCAATGCTACAACTACTACTTCACTAAAGAGGGAGAGGGAAAGAGCGAAGTAATCCTGCATGCTGATTTAAATGTTTTTAAAATGGTCCCAACAGTCAAGAGAAGGAACAAAGATGACAAAGTTTGCAGGTAAAACAGAGAAATGACAATCAAATTCTACGAATTTAGCAGACTGCAATAATGGTTTTCAAGGTACATGGCACATGAAAAGAAAGAACTTATTCTATACAGTTTAAAGAGAGATTCCAAAGACAATTCATCACAAAAAATAACTCAATAGACAAGGATATCTTAAATATATTTCCATGTTGTAGGGTTATATGCGCAACCATATCAACTCCCACCCTCATTGCACAGACTGGACATACCTGCAAATAAAAATAACCATCACAAACAGAGTTTAGATTCAATAAACAACTTACTTATAACAGATCAAACTACTATTTGTCAAGTCAAGACAAGTATTAATACCAAACATGTAAGCAAGATCAACACTAGAGGTAATTTTCCCAGTTAGTTAAACTTAAGCTCATAGTCCAAAACTAGTTCATTCAAAATTTCAATCACATGACAAACATCAATAGTCTAACCATACAAGACTCAATTAAGTTAAAAAACAGCCCAAGAGTAGCTTCTGAGTTGTGAAAGCTTAAAATTTGAAACTTGGGTCCATTACAAGCCAACCCCTTTTCAATCCTTTTTAGCCAGCTGATCAGAATTCAAAGCTTAACTCAGTTAAGTGAACTATGCTACTTTGAACAAATCTTAATTACAAAGAGAACAATTATGTTAAAAATAACAATCCAATATAGCCATCTTGCTTATAATACATAAAAATAAAAAGGGCTTTAAGAAATAAAAGAAAAAAGAGTGTTACCCCATTTTTAGCCTCCATTGGATGCTCATCATCAATGTGACAGCACAAGCCAACGATATCGAAATACTCTGAACAAAAAGGGCATGGAAACTCTTCTTTTGTATCATCTTCTCCATCTATTTCTTCAAACCCCATAAACATATCTGCATTTTCAACTCATTTCCAAACATTAAATCATTTTTCTAATAAAAAAGGACAAATTCTTTGGAAAAATCTAATCTTCTTGTAATCAATTAAGTCAAGTTACTTCCTTGGCCTTCACTTTCCACCACACACGCAAAAGTAAATATTTATGTATTTAACCCCAAAATAAAAAACCTCATAAACATATCTGCATTTCAACCCATTCCCAAACATTAAATCATTTTTCTAATAAAAAAGGACAAATTCTTTCAAAAAATCTAATCTTCTTGTAATCAATTAAGTCAAGTTACTTCCTTTGCCTTCATTTTCCACCACACACACACAAAAGTAAATATTTATGTATTTAACCCCAAAATGAAAGTAAAAAAAAAAAAAAAAAAGATGGGATTTTTAAAGCTTACCAGATCGTGATTTAAGAGCTGATTGATATTTCTTAGATGATGAAGAAAGACGAGCACTCCATGAATCAGCATCCATTTCTAAATCACCCTCTTTCTTAAATTAATTGTCAATCCAAAGAAAAAAAACTTTTTTAATTTACGGCGTTAAAACTCGAATCTTTTGGAGCTCCGATCTTGGATTTGTGAAGCAAATTAAACTAACAAAAATCCAAGAAACTAAAGAGGAGGAGGATACTTAGATCTTTGGGGTCTGATAAGAGAGTGAGAGCGAGAAATAGAAGAAGCAGAGCTGGTTGTTTTTGTCCCTCTTTGGAGGTGAATTTCGTCGATAAAAGGAAATTTTATCTGCTAAGTCTCGGCCTTTTATATTATTCTTATTTCTTCAAAATAAATAAAATAAATAAAAGGAACAATTTGACTCGTCATATGTGGATCCGGATCCTGGCAATTTTCATAGATTAAAAATATAATCGAGTTGAATCAATCCGATTAAATATGTTAAAAAATTTAAATTCGAATTTAATTAAAAATTAATTATTTAAAATTTAATTTGAATTTAATTAAAATTTAATTTTAAATTTAAATTTAACTTGTAATAAAAATTAAATTATTTAAATTTATTTAATTAAATTCATTAAATAAAAATAATTTTGATTATCATATTTGATTTTAAATTTAATTATTATTTAAATTTAAATTTAAATTCAAATTAATATATATAAAATAAAATAATTATTTGTAATTAAAATAATTAAAATTTAAAATTTTAATTAAGCACATAAATTTAAAATATTCAAATTTAATTTATTTAAATTTAATTTAATAATAATCAAGATTCGATAATAATAAAATAAAATTTAAATAATTTACGAATATTAATATATTTTTTACGTTGTTTTCTATATCAATCCTGGCTAACCGAACCCGACCTGATTGAAGATTAAAAAAGTGATTAAAACACTAACCAAAGTTCTAATTGGAAACTGAGAGCCTAATAAAATTTTTAAAAAAATCCACGCGCACCGTATCATTTCTCCTTTTATTCTTTTTCTTTTTGGTGGTTCCTTTCAAAAAACGATCCTCGGCTTCGCCGGCACGTGACTCGGCCGTTCGTTTCAGTTCAACTGCCTCCTTAACTGCCAATCACCGACCTCCGGTCACGTGACCGTCCCTCATTTTTTGCTTTTGCCGGTTCCGCCATGAGAAAGCCTCAATTTTTAGATCTCTAAATTCTAAATCTGAATCTGAATCTGAATTTAGATTTAGATTTTTAGATAAAATATATTTTTAGAGCTATGGCGACGAGGAATAGGACGCTGATATTTAGAAAATACAGGGACGCGTTGAAGAGTGTTAGAATTCCGGTGAGCTCGTCTGCGGCTTCGGCATCGTCAGCGGCTGTGGCGACGAGCTCCGGCGGAGGACCGGTGATTGAGATGGTTAGTTCTTCGTTGCTCCATCCAAATCGCTCTTATACTCCTCTAAATACGGAGGATCCTGGAAATTCAAGGTAATATTACATTTCCAACTATTACCATTGATCGTTTTAACTTTTCCTATTAATTTGTTAAATTGAGATCAAGAAGTCAAGATCAAGATCAAAGCTTTTTTTTCTTTTAATAATTGTGTGGATTTGTTCAGGTGTGATTAGTTTAGCTTATTGAGGTGATTTGTGTCTCCTTTTCTAATTTGGTTTTTCTAAAATTGAATTATGTAGTTTAGGCTAAGAAAAAGTTTAATAAATTGTTAATTTTTTTATACGAAGTGACTATCTTTCGAGGAATTGGCACCGAAGAGATACGTACTAATGAATGTGGTTGAATTTGTTAGTTGATCAGTGAATGATTCTTACAAGAATTATGAGACATTTTAAATGATTTTGGAAGGAGATGAAAAGATTGTTTTTGATAGAAATGAGTGGTGCAAAAAGATTCAAAACTACAACATAATATGATTCCTTTTTTTTAGGCCTTCCATAGAGCTGACGTCAAAGTTATGGGATGTAAGGCTTAATTTGTTGTTGTTGTTGTTGTTGTTACATTTTAAATGATTTCAAAAGAGAGCTTATGTATAGGTTTATGCAGTATGGTGGAAGATCAAGGCATTGCAATGAGGGAAATGTAGATGTAAATTACTATTTGGTTTTCTTCTGAAGTTCATTTTCTATTTCAACTAGTTGTGAGTTCAACTATTACTTTTTTTGAATGGTCATGAAATTCTGTAGTTTGAAAATAAGGGACTATATGCCTATTGCAGTAAGGGTGCAATTACAGTGGGTCTACCGCCAGCTTGGGTGGATGTGTCTGAAGAAATAGCAGCCAATGTGCAACGTGCACGGACCAAAATGGCCGTGTTAGCCAAGGCTCATGCAAAGGCCTTAATGCCTTCATTTGGTGATGGTAAAGAAGATCAACGCAATATTGAGGCTCTTACCCATGAGATAACTAATCTGTTGAAGAAATCGGAGAAGAGATTACAGAAACTCTCTGCCGCTGGACCTTCTGAGGATTCAAATGTCAGAAAAAATGTTCAGGTAAGACTTAGCGGCCATCAAATTCACTTCTGCAGCTCTATGCTCAAGTCACAAAATCTAAATCATTTAGGCAAGATGGTTGCCTGTCACATTCTTTTGGTATGGCCTAATTTTAGAAGTAGCAGATTTTAGTTTCCAACTATAAAGATGACATTTTTGGAGAGGATGAGACAAACATGAAACAGTGTCTAGTGTGCTCCCTCTCTCTCACCATTTGTTTTTGGGGCTAAAAGACTTTTCCTCATAGAATTCATCTATTCTTGGCATGTATGCTCCCTTTCCTTCATCCCTTCTCTTGTGATGGAGAAATAACAGGTTATCTTTGATTTTTCTAGCCCATACACCTCTGTCATTGCAGAGGGGAAGATAATAATGTCTGACTTCTGGTGCTACTCTTCACTGTGCTCGTACTTGCCTTTCTTTCTTTTCATGTTTTTCTCCTTTTTGGCAGCGGTCACTTGCCACAGATCTTCAGAACCTTTCAATGGAGCTTCGGAAGAAACAATCAACTTATTTAAAGCGCCTCAGGCAGCAAAAAGAGGTATAGAAAGAAACTTCTTTCTTGAGAACGTAAAATTGTATCAAACATGGTTGCAGTTTTGCATGCTAATAGTCAAAATTTTTCAATTTCAAACTTAATCGATTCAATTTCTATGTTTTTGTGCTCTTATGGTGCACTTTTGCACATTTTTTTGGTGTAACTAAATTGTTGGTTTCTGATGTAGGGTCAGGATGGAGTTGATCTAGAGATGAATCTAAATGGAAATAGATCTAAAGCAGAAGAAGATGACTTGGATTATATGGTATATTGGTTTCTTTAAACCCTAGTTCTTTTGATGTTTCTATTATGTTTGATCAATTGGAAGACATTTTAGTAACATGAGTTTTAGGGTTCTGAACTCCCAATTGCGTTTTAGAATCTTGAAGCTCAATTGTCTGTCAGACTTGAAGCTCCAAAATTTGCCTAGTTCAACTTCCTTATCTTTCTTTTGTATAATAACATTAGGCTTTGTTTTGTGTATTTTATCTGGTTCCAGTTTGTTATCAGATACTAATGTTTCAAAATTACGTCATTTAGGTATTTAATGAGCATCAAATGGCAAAGCTAAAACAAAGCGAGGCATTCACCATTGAGAGGGAAAGGGAGATCCAACAGGCAAGTGCACTGCTCATAATATTTCTCTTATCTGATTCTGCTTTCATAGCTGTCCCAAACTAATTTTATATAAATTAAAATACTTTTGTAGGTTGTGGAGTCAGTAAATGAGCTTGCTCAGATTATGAAGGATCTCTCGGTTCTTGTGATTGATCAGGTGGGAATCCATCTAGCCTTGGTAATAAGTTACAAACTTTTCCCTAGTCATTAAATGCAGTTCCCTTTCCAAACAGGGCACAATTGTTGATCGGATAGACTACAACATTCAGAATGTTGCAACTACAGTCGAAGAAGGCCTCAAACAGCTACAGAAGGTCTTTGGCCTTTGTCCATTATTGATCTACAATTACATGTTTTCTGGGACTCTCTCTCCCTCTCTATCTCTCATTCTTGTGTGGATTGGACTTGCAGGCGGAGAGAACACAGAAACAAGGAGGGATGGTGATGTGTGCTTCAGTGCTTGTTATTATGTGCTTTGTCATGCTGGTCCTCCTAATCCTCAAGGAGATACTCTTTTGATCTGCAAGCATGGTTTTCCTTTTTTGGTCCTTCTAAGTTTTTTGGAGAAAAAGAGAAGGGAGGGAAAGGCGGTTGTTTGACCTGGGTTTCAAGTAGCAAAAGGATGCCCCGAGATCTGTATAGAGCTTATAATGTATTCTTTTCCTTCAACAAGGAGCTGCATTGATTCTTTTAGACTCCATGGGAGTTTTCTTGCTGGTTCCCATACGAGGAGATGAGGCTCTTGCCTATTTACTTGTATCAATTCTTTTGATTTGAGAAAAAAAAATGACATTCATTTTGTTATAACATATACGAGACTGGCATTCTACGGAAATTTCCCCTTGAATTTGTCATGTTAAGGTTGCCACGAGAATTGAGAGAAATGGCTGAAAGTAAAGGAAATCTATTACCTTTGTTTTCTCAAGCACTAAAATCTCTTGTTTTTTGATCATCATGGTGATCTTAATGACAACAGGTGTCAATTCTCTTACAGCATTGTCCAATACTATTAGGAGTGTAAGCGAGCAAAATTTTTGAAAAATTGTTCGTAAATATATTATGTTTTTGTTTGTTTATAGATGTTTGTTAAGTTTAACAAATAATTTTGAATAATATTTTTATATTTATTTGTTTAATAAATTGAACACGAATAAAAATTTGAGTTGTTCGTTTATATTGGTGAACAAATTCATTTAAAATTTATTTGTTTATTATTTATTTGTTGTTTATTCATAATAATATTAACAAAATTATTTTTTATCTTTTACTTTAATTTTATTTTAAAATTCATTTATATTCGTCAAGAGTTTGTTAAGTTTATTGGGTTATGGTTATGAATATGTTTGATTATATATATTCGTAAATATGTTCGTTTAATATTAACAAATAAGCTTATTTAACTTCATTGAACTGAATATGAATATCTTACTATTTAAACAAACCACATTCAAACGAACAAAATAATTTTCTTACCGAACATGAATCATACCTAAACACTTTTAAAAATAAATGAATAAATCACATACATACATTCATTTGTCTATATTCGATTTGTTTATAGCCCTCGATACTACAATTTTTGTTTTCTAGTGAACAAAACAAATCAAACCTTTGTTTGGTGCTAGCAGTTTAGAGAACAGAAACTAAAGTCACAAGGATAAACATATAGTGGTCGAACTAAACAAGCCTGAAAAAGTTGTCAATTTCTAAAAAAAATTAAAAGATGTTTTCATTCTTCTTGGGAAGTTACTGATACAAGAGACATATGGTGATTGAATGAAAAATGGCACTTAGCATTTTATTGGTAAGAATGGATGGATTAAGGATTACAACAAATAATTAAGCAAAGATAAAAGATGCAACTTGAAACTAGCCTGAATTTTTTTTCCTTTTATTGTTGATATATTCCAAGGCCGTGGAAGATCTTCCCACAAGGTTTGGAAGTGAGAGTTTCAAGTCGAATGTCAACATCTGTAGAATCATTGCTAAGGTTCTTACATCAGACATGGCTCTGTGAGCTGAACCAACTAATGGAATTTTGTAGTGCTCTCGAAGTGCTTGTAAGGATGTTCCTGAAGGGAGATTTGATCCTGTGGATAAATTGAATGTCAAGCCTTTAACTTAGAAATAAACCATGTTAATGAAAGAGGGAGGGGCAGAGAGTGACCTCCAGACTTCATCAATTCACGTGCGAGAGAAAGCGTGTCCATGAACAACCAATTCGAAGGAATCTCATAAGAGCAACGGCTAAATTCATTGATCAAAAATGGTAAATCAAAAGCAAAACTATTGTGAGCACCCCACAACACATAACCCCTGGTTTCTGACGGCTTTTAACAAACTGCAGCAGGATTGGTATTAGTTCCTCCATCCTACAAAAGGTCCATACCATAACCTATAAGCACAACATATCCAGCAATAAATGGGGGGAAAGTTTTCAAATTTAACCACAGAGACCACCTATTAGACTGAATTCCTCGTTTTGACTTCATAACTAGTGGAAGAAACCCAAGAAAATAACGACCAATAAGAAAAAGTGTACCTTGGAACATCAGGTCGACAGACCATGTTGGTTGTGATCCCGTGGACATGTGAGTTTGCAACATAGCATCCAGGATTAACCAATGTTTGGAATGTGCTGTTTTCACCTCCTGACAGATCTTGAAGAGCTATCTCAATGATTCGGTCATCTTTTCTGCTAAGACCTGAAGTCTCAGTGTCATAAATGATAAATGTCACAAGGTCGGTTAAGTCTTTGTTCTCTGCAATCATCTGTTGAATACCACAGTACTGAAGCTGTTGACTTTCACTTATTTCTGTTTTGTTTAAATTCAATGCAGTGCTTGTTGAAACCTTTTCATTTAAATTTTTTTGCACAAGGTTACTTGGTTTAGCAGTCTGGTTAGTCTTGTTTCCTCCTGTTTTTGATGTCATAGGCCTTCTAGTCCATCTCCTACTGTAACCTCCTTCAAACCCAAAGGTTTTGGAAGCAAGCAGCTTGAAGCTTGAACCATTTACACGACTCCCACTTAAATTGTGGAAGCCTTCCCGACAAAAATTAGGTAAACCATAAGTTCTGCCTCTGGGGGCTTGTAACATTGAAAAGCAAATGGCAACAGATCTCATCTGAACTTGATCTACAAGAGGGAAAGATTCCAACAGTTGAATTATGCCACATCAGACAAACAGTTGGCTTCAACCTGAAAATCAAGAATATGAATTATTAACATAATAAAACAGAAAAAAAAATATCAACAATATCATACCTCAATTAAAACCATAAAGAGATTTAAATTCATGAATGTAGCTCATTCTGTTTTGGAGAAAAGACAGTACTACTACTACTACCTCCTGCCTACAGTGGGGACAATTTTCCATGCGTATTCCCATTCTTGCACAAGACTCCAAACTAAAGATTCCTACTAATATTAATTAAACAAAGACCCAAAATATGAAATACCAAGTAGAACTATGATTCTGACCAAATCAGACAAACCAGAAGCAAAGAAACAATTTGCAACAAACCCATCTTCAAACAAGTTTCAATGGAGAAGTTTACAGATTACACATCATTGAAAACTATTGAACAAGCCATCAAGGGATGAACTTTAATCCTACCGTTGTATCAAACTAATCACAAGAAAACTTAAAAGTTGCATCGTTAAAGTCAATTTTTACACCGAAAACTGAACCACAATGATGAAAAACAAAAGCAGTTTGTTTATTTGATATCAATATCACAATTAATAGCAAACTGTTAACTTGACTCCAACAAAACAAGGACTACATATTTAATCAAATAACAAAACAAAGAATCAAGCTCATTGACAGTTAAAAAGAAATGAATCAAACTGTCATGGATTCACAAAAGAAAAAAAAATTAATGCTCCATCTGGTTTCAATGTTCAAATAAAAAGAAAGAAACCCAAAGCAAAAAACTAAAATTTGAATTCAAAATCAAAGATTTTTCTCCTTTGGTTATCCATTCAAAAGCAAGTTTAAAACTTTAAATCAAAACAACGTTCTCCCAAGTTGAATTTTGCCTTTCTTTTACTTTCTCTCCATTTTCAAATCAAGAAATGAACATAAACATAATAATATCAAAACCTTCCTCTTAAGTTTCTTCCCATTTCTCAGCAACCAAACAAACAGAGAGAGAGAGAGAGAGAGAGAGAGAGAGACGTGCCTTGTGTTAGCAGTGATTCCCAAAGTGGAGAAAAGCGCATTACGTGTTTGTGAAATGGTTCAACCGCATGTAGTTTATATTTATAGAAAGAGATTTTCAATTTCGTTTTTCAGCTTTTTCTGGAAGAGAGAGAAAAGAGATGAGCCATGTGGAATGGTGGAGTAGGCTTTCAGTTAACCCCCATCCTTTCGGATTCAGTGCATTTGCCCGATCCGCACGTCTCGGGTCATAATTTGACTTCATTTTTTTTCCCTCTAATCTGGGTAAATACAAAATACAATGAAAATATAATAGGAGTGAAAGCAATTTGGTTTGGATAAAATTAGATTTGATTTAATTTTTTTAAAATATTGTATAATATTATAAATTTTTGAAAAGTTTTATTTGAATTCAAATTTAATTTTTATATGATTTAATTCGATTTGATTTGATTTATTGATTTTTAAAATTAATTTTTTATTTTTTATATATTATTTTAATATAAAATTGTCATATATTTAAATAGATTTTACTATAAAATTATTATTTTTATTTTATAAAAATTTAAAAATATATAAAAATTAATAAAAACATATAACTCAATTTGAATTTTTTTTATTTTTGACTTTTTGATTCATATCTAATATTTAATTTAATATCGAATTTAATCCAAATCGAATAAAAAAATTAATCTAAATCAAATCGAATACTATAATTTCGAATCAATTTTTTATTTTTTTTTATTTTTTTCTCACCCTTATAATATAATAGCATACAAGTACAAATAATTCAAGCCAAAATTTTTGTTGAATTAAACTAGATAACTAACCTAGGTTCTTAAAATGTAAATTAAATAAAAGAAAAAAAAAGACAATAATATGTGTGATTAATATTTAGGTGAGCTTGTGATGAAGGTTAGCTAATGAAAATTTGGTACCTGAAAGAAAGGATCATGTCTGAATTATGAAGTATGACATAATATAATATTTACTTGAGACAGTAAGGCAAGTCAATAGCTTTAGGAGCCGTAACTACACTCTTTGACATTGGCCATTGTCAAAAACAAACCCAACAAGCTTTTCTTTGCTTAAGAAATTGGAATTCTTCTTTAAGTTGTAGCAATGTAATAAGCCATACATTATGTAAAAAGACAACATATTGTATTGTCTTTGTGTGTGGGTAACTCTAAAATTCTAGTTATCATTCGTTTGTCTTGTCCCAATTTGAACTTTCAATTCAAACTCTCACATCCTTTGCCCATGAGATTATAAAGAAATCTTTGATTAAATAAAAAGAATATAAAGAAATCCAGCTTGGAAGATATTCTTATATCCAGCTTGGAAGATATTCTTATATCATAAAAAGAATATAAAGAAATCCAGCTTGGAAGATATTCTTATATCCCTGAAATTGTTCAACTTCAATGGTTCTAATTTCAACTGTAAGAGTTGGACAGTGACTGAATGAAACCCATTTTTCCTCTCGTCTGATCTAGCAAATGGTAGTTCGTTTTGGTCACATTTTGATGATATTGGGCCTGGAATTGTTCTAGCTTGCAAGAATCAATCAATCCAGTAATCAAAATGACAGTGAAAAGTCTTGGGTTTAGTGATGTTTTTTCGTTGTTGAATCATGAGAACCAATCCAAGCCCATAAGGACAGACCACATCATGCCTCCAGCATCTGCTCCAATCCATTGCTGACTTCAGAGATCCATTGTCAAGTCGCGTTGTGTATAGTTAACAATGGCCTCAAATATCTCAGCTGACTCCTCCATTTGCAGGCCGGCGTGAGGTCACAAACACAGCCCAAGTCCATTCTCCCCAGTCCCACCCAATCACCAAAAAGGGCTTTTAACAGATTTGCCCACAAGAATCTATTTGCTTGAATCATCATTCAGAAACAAATACAGTAAAATTGCTTGGATAACGTATAGTAGTTGGTACTAAATGGCTGCAAATCCTACTTACAAGAGAAAATTTTCACTGTTCATTGATTCGAAAACTACTATATACAATATGATTAAGGTACCATCAATCCATCATCAACAACATTACTTTTCTTTGACTTCCTTTTTTATCATGTTTCCCCTCAATTCTCCAAAGGAAAAAAAGAACAGACCAGTAGTAGAGAACAAGGGTATTTTCATTTCAGTACAAAGAAACAAAGGCAAAACTGAAAAAAAAAAAAAAAAGCAGTTGTGTGGGTTAGAGTTTTTTTTTTTTTGAAACCCCCATTTTTGGTTTCTTGTCTCTGTCCCTCCTTTCAAGCAAAAACTGAGCCACAAGACAATGCCATCAAAGAAAAAGCAGCTTGTTCTTCCTCTCCCAACTTCCTTCTCCTTTGACACCTTTGCTTCTTCACCACCCCAGATAATGATGATGATGATCTTTGCAACAAAACTTCACTGCCTAAAGCAAATAATCTCATCTTCACAGTCTCACTTAACCCATTAAATTTGCCACTGGGCTTCTTATCATCACCAACATTATTTGTTGCAGCAATAGAAGCAGAGCTGGTTGTGATGGTGCTTGATGACGAATGTGATCTCTCTTTCTTCTTCTCTGATCCCTTGTTCAAACCCAACATTGCTCTTCTTTTTTTCCTATACCTGATCCCACATGCATTGCACAGCGACTGAAATTACCCCCCCACCCAACCCCCCCCAAAAAAAACCATCAACCATAAGCCAGGATCAGTTGAATTCATTGACAAACAAGTGAAAAACCTTCAGCAAAGCAAAATTACAGATTGGCGATGATTAATTGATTATTAACCAAAATACAAACGAGTTCTTTAAGATTTTAAGCGATCAGAAGAGACAAAGATTCATCAAACAAAAAGAAACTATGAAAAAGTTGTGCGCTTTACAAGAGGAATCATAGCTATGATACTAAAAGAAAAGCCAACCCAAACTTCAGAAAGAGAAGATTTTTTTTTATGAAAATGGAAAGTGAAAATCATACCTTGGGGCCAGCAGGGCCACCTCTCCAAAGAGGTGTCTTTGTGGTTTTGCAATCAGTACAAAACTTCTTGTTATTCTCACTCACCATATCTTCATTCAATGATTTCTGGATCATAAACAGCAATCATATCAATATATATATATATATATATATATAAACAATGGGTTGAAAAAAAAAGGGAAACAGCTTTGAATTGAAGGTGGTTTTGTTTTAACACCTTTTCTCTCAGATCCATTACACCCATGAAGCAACTCTTTGAAGCTTTTTGATTTAAACAGAATGGTAACGCTTGATGAACAAAGAAACACCAAATATGTAACTACTAGAAACCTTTATTATTTCCTTTGGGGGAATAAACAGAGATGAAACAGAGGAAAACAGACTATTTTTCTCTCAGAGAACAAAACCCAGAAACCCAAAAACCCAAAGAGAAAGACAAAAGCTTGGCTAATGAAAATGAGTGAAAAGAAAAAACATGCAAAAATGAAATAAGATAGAGAAGAGAACCAACGGGGAGTGAGAGGGTGGTCAGGGGATAGACACAAAAAGCCTAGACAGAGGGGTAATAAAAAGACGGGAATGTCCTTGGTGACAGCACAGCGCCGCTCCTCTGTTGGTGAAAACAAAATGTTTGTTTTTCGTACCAAAAAAAAAAACGTTTGGTTTCATTTTTGGGATAGCAACACCCGCCAAATTTCTGAGAAGGTCGCTTCCACGTGGCAACATGCACGAGGGGGTGACGGTCCAAATTTCTTTTGCATATATATATATATATATATATATATACAGATTTGAATTTAATTTAATTTAAATTTTTTAAATAATATATAATGTTATAAATTTTAAAATTTTGATTTTAATCTGAATAAATTTTTTTAATTCGATTGAAATCAAATTTTATTTATTCCATTAATTATTTTTTAAAATTTTATTTATAAATTTATTATTTTAATAGGATTTTTAAGATATTTAAATAAATTTATAAATAAAATAATTATTTTTATTTTATAAAAATTTAAAATATATATAGAAATTATTGAAAATATATAAATTAATTTTTTTAATATTTTATATTTTTAATTCAAAATTTAATCCGAATTTAATATATACGTTTAACATCATTTTAATTCGAATTAAATTAAATATTATAATTTTAAATTAATTTTTAATAGTTTTAATTTTTTTTCAAACTCCTAAAGAATTAACGCCTACTTGAGATGGGGATATCGAAACTGAGCTAAATTTGCATGTACAAATGGGAAGAATCCTCCTTTGCAATGAAATTTGTAAGACGGCCCACGCAACAGACATGATTTTGATCATTGCAGTTTTTGGATAGAAGTACCATTTTTGTCAATATCCCATGAAACCATCAACTCAAAATGGCATATCTTTCTGACTAAAAAGAAAAAACAACACATTTATACAATTGAATCCATTGGTTATGTTAAGGCTGTTGGCAAATTACCCCCAATAAACGGGTATGTCAATGAAACGTTTTGTCCATTTTAGGTAGAGAAAAAATAAAGGACCACAGAAATCGAACTCCAAAAAACCCAATTCTTTATCATCCACAACAACCCAATGTGTTTACGAAAGGCCTGATAAGGAGATTGTGCGCTGATACTGAGCTCTTTCTCCAATGGTAAAAATCAATAATCCAAATTTGTTAATGTATTTAAGTTCCCCATGATTCAGAACATTTAAGTGGGGTACATCAAAAGTTGAGCTTTGAAATCTCTCTCTTTCTCTCTAGAAGACAGGATGTAATATTTTATGAGCAGAGAGGCTTTTGTATTTTCTTGGTAGCATAAAATCATGTCAAAATGGTTTGTTTGTATGTTACTCCATTGCCGATGATAGGCATTTTTTATTATCCATTTCTTTATTGTTGGAGATATTAATATATAAAATTTGATAATAAAAAATCATGCAAAACAACATGTGAATCAATAAAAAATAAAAAATTTACACCATTTGAACTAGGCTATTTGTTAATCCTGGAGCTGCAACTGAACAACTAGTTCTAACGCTTTACAAACTTTTACATGAGACCCAATACGGAGAAAAAAATAGTCCATTGTTGAACCCAATATGTCCCCTTCTGGGCTTTTTATTGGTCTTGTGGTTGGTAAAGCTTTAAAATGGGCTATGCAAAAGGGCTTATCCAAATCCAATCCATAGACATTAAGATCCCTCTCTACCCAATTGGTCCATTCTCGTTTTTGCTGATGACATTATCACAAGGAAGCCATGTTAGAAATCAACCACCTCCAGCTTTAGGAAACTTCCATGCTTGTTAGCTAATATTGGCGCTGTGATGAAAATTCCAGGCACCTCCAATGCCAAAGCCCAAAGGAAACGATTGGACAGCATTGGATTTTGGTGTTTCTCCTAAATTGACTAGAAGGAATTTCCAGCAAGCATTCGCTCTCACCATTTAAGATCGGATCTAAGCAAGGCGTGGCTGAGGTGTATCTTTCCACCAAGCTTCAGTCCCATTTGAAAATCTACTAGTACTTTCGTGTGTACCATATAACACCGCACGCATGAAAGATCTACAAAAGAGCAAAGCCCACCCGCAGAAAAGAGAAAACCAATACCTACAGACGCAGATGTCTAATTGTACATGACCTAAAACGATAGAATTCAGTCATGTGACTAAAACATTTGTTAAACAATTAAAAAGGAGATGGGTTTGAGCAGCCACAACAGAATGGAAAGACAAAAGAAGGGATAAAAATATCAAACCATCAATGACGGTAATAATTCTATTTCCCCTTTAATGTAGTTTTGACATCTTGCAATGAGGAATTGTATTCCCTACACAAAGATATAAGACTATCTAAAATGGCAAATTTTTATGCATGTAATGATAACATAACAGTCCAATTACATAGAAGCAAAAGAATATTCCCATGTTACTCATAACAAGGTAACTGTTTTGGGAAATGCCAAAATCACCCAGCAACAACGTGTGAAAAGCTATTGCAAAGACATCACACTACCAAGACAACTGCAAATTGAGACAGACCATATATTTGTTTAAAGAGCACTGAAAATAAAGACTCTGATTCCTCAATTTATTGTAGCAGATCACCAAAGCTCTTATTCTGTCCATTTCCCCTTTCTGCATAACATAAACCTGGCTCTGTAGTTAACCCATGCCACCCAGTACCCTCGATACTTTACCCTCGACACCACACCCGACCCTGGACAGGACACAAACATGACAACAATACGCCTGACCTGGAACCCAACTATTGTTCCATCATCTCCATAAGGACTTCAATATAGAACCAGACAAAATTCCTGAAATATTAATTGCAAACAGCTTTTAAAATGCAAAAGCAGATACAAACAATGGTCAGATATGCATAATCAGACAGCTGTCTATCCTATCTAAAAAACATAAAATGCTCCCACTAGAGTACAACATTAAAAAACAAATGCATACAAACAGCAGCACTACATACCTCTAGCTGAAATTGAATCCCCCTGACGGAACAGGAAGCTCACCCCCTCCAAACTGAAACCCTGTTTGAGAGGCATCACCAGGCGGCATTGTCTCATCCTCCTCCTCCAACCAATATGTCTCAAGAACTTTCACAGCCTTTTCATAAATCTCAGTGTTATCATGAGACTGTAAATTCTCAATCTTCTCTAGACCCTCTGCATCATCAATCATTTGTGCATAGAGATTCACACCTTCAGTAGTGCCCAGGTTCTTATCAGCTTCTCCTACCTTCAAAATGTTTTCAAGCCCTTCCAAACAAACTGTAACTATCCTTGGATCAGGACAGTTAAGAAGATCACACAATGGCTTGATACAACCTTGACTTACAAGGAACCTGAAATACGTGACATGCCCAGATGAGAACTTGTTTATCATTAATAATCTGCCAAGACATGATTCCAAATAACTAAGATGGAAATAATTTTCATACTTTATCTGATCATGAGTACCACCAGATGTAGCATTAGAGATGGCCCATGCTGCTTCTTTCTTAATATCAAATTCAGCATTTTGAAGCAGATGAACCAGAGGAGCAATAATATTAGCTTCAATCACAGCCTGTAAAATTCATACTATTACACATTGTTCCACAGTATAAATGAATAAAGACAATCATAGATCCAAAATTGATAAAACCAAGATAAATATTACAGCATCAAGAAAGTGATATAGTTCCAACTGTTACCTGTATCTGCTCCTTATTTCCGGCTGTGATATTTGAGATTGTCCAACAAGCTTCCTTCTTGATGCTCTTTTTAAAATTATTTGTCAACAGGTTCAAAAGGCATGGCAATGCTTGATGATTGATAATACACTGTGTGCCAAAAAATTTTCCCATAAATGAGAGAAGACAAAATAGTTATACCATATATAAGCAAAAAGATAATCTTTAACAACTAAACCCACAATCTTAAATCCATTTTACAATGTAAGAGGGGGCCCATCATTGTGATTTGAGTGAGAAAACTAGTAATTTCCACAATTAAGAAGATAAATGGTAAAAGATCCATATTCCTAGTAAGATCATTAAACCTAAGAAAAACCTAAGAAGTGGGTAATACCTGGGTTTGCACATCATCTCCTGTGACAATATTTCCAACCGTGCGAAGAGCAGGAATTAGCACTGAAGGAGATGGGTGCCTGAGAAAGCCACAGAATTCTGGATTTAGGTCAGGCAAACCAAACCAATAAATCAGATATAGAAAGACTTTGAGATTCAACCAACAGCTAATAGTCTAACTCACAGCAAAAGTTCCACCAGATGCCCACATACACCTGCTTCTATAACAGCTTGAATTTTGTCATTTGTACCATCAGAAAGATATGAAAGCGCCCAACATGCATCAGTTAAGACTTCTTCATCATTTGAATGAATAAGGCGTGCTAATGCAGGAAGAGCAGGCTTAACCTGAAAAATAAATAAAGGATAATAAGTAAGTTAACAATTAATTCAACCCAACCACTGAATTGCCATAAAATATTCATAGCTACATAATAATACTCAATATGCATAAGCGTCCTATAAATATATCTCACTTCCTGGTGTAATGTTAGAAATGTGCAATATCCCACTTTCTAGTTTAGTGTTAGCAGTGTATTGTGATGTATAATTTTCATGATCCAACATGCAATCCACTATCTCAGATTTCAAAATCAATAATGTTGAAAATGAACAAACTTGTGAATCTTTTTAAAAACAACAGTTCTACAAGAAAAGAAGGGAAAAAGGGTCAAACCTGATCAAAGGGAGGCTGGGGCTTGCCCCGACAAAAATTTGAGAGTGTCCATGTAGCATTTCTCAGCATAGAAAGTTTAGCATGCTCATTCAACTGTGCCAACAAAGGAAGCAAAGCGCCATGACCAAGGACAAGATCACGACATCTAGGAGAATCACCAGCAACATTTCCCAAAGCCCAGACAGCCTGAATGTTCAGAACGAAAAGGGAACACAAAAATATAAAACATTTCATATTAGCTTTTTCTCAGTAAAATTCAATTTATCTCACTTCTTAATTCTGTCAAAAATAAAAACTACACTAAATTCTTTTCATATGCTTACCTGCTCACGAACATCATCACTTGGGGAACCAAGTAACTTCACAAATATTGGAACGGCCCCGTGATCAATTACCACCTTTGTGTTCTCAGATGTCCCAGAAGCAATATTAGTCAGGGCCCAGGCTGCCTCAAACTACATAAATATTAAATTAGTAAGAATCTTAAACAAATCTAGAAATATGAAGCCATAAGATAATGTTGAAGCTAACAGGAAATTCAACCTGAAGCTGTGGGAAATCTTCCCTCATGAGGAATTCAACAAAGCGAGGAACAACTCCAGCTTGTATCACTTCCTCAATAGGTGGGCTGCGTTCTGGGATAAATAACAAAAGATATTAAGGAACATTATATTACTATCAAACAAAATTTATTACAGGATGAATTTCTCACCAATTGAAAGCAATTTCCTAAACTGTGTGGTTGCCTCAAGCTGCATATTACTATCATCGGACCAGACACCAGCAACCATGGCTGGCAAATTTTCCAACTGCAGTCAGAGTTGAACATGATCAGAACAATCCAATGCTCAATCAAATCACAGGCAGCCAATCATGCAAATAATTGATAGTAGCTGTCACAAAGAAAACCGAGGCGAAAACAAAATTCATGGAACAAGAATGCCAATTATTCACCACAATTTTGCTTTGAAATAAATTAAAAGAGGAACCCCATTCTCACAACTCTATTTAATTAATTCTGGCTGAATTTCTAGCAAAAATAGAAGGGATGGAACTAAAACTACCATGTATATGCAAACAACTAACAGGAGTCAGAAGTCAGAACACAAATCAACAACCGCTAATTGTTAAAGTTAGTAAATGAAAAAACAAAACCTTGATAGAGACAATTTGATACTAGAACCAACAAACTGAATCGCGAATTTGACAATTCATGTTAACGTAAAACAACAACCATCTTAGACTTAACAAGATACCAAAATGTTTAGACTAAAACAGAGTTCTCATGAAACCATCAAAAAGCACCAAAAATTAACAATTATGACCTCATCAACACAATTAAAACCTACTTCAAACAAAATTTTCTAAAATTTAAAAAGCTACCATAATCCTAACACCATAAGATTAATCAAAACCAAACAATCTCGCACAAAACAAGCTTTACAACTTCAGCAACTTATAAGCACTGAAGAATAAACGAGAAAATAAAACAATTGAAAATCGACCTTTTTTTCAACAGCAGAGGAGTGAAGAGAAGCAGGCATTGACTGTGGTTGGAGTCCTTCACGTCGCTTCTTCTGCAAACTCTCTTCACGGCGGCTCTTCCTAATCTCCACCATGTTATCCTCCCTCCTCCGCCTCCCTTCCTCCGCGTCCACCGCCACCTTGTACCTGTTCCTCCGAACCTCCGTCCTCGCGTTTGGCCTCAACGACATCTTCCCTAATTTCCAAAAAGGAAAACTCTTGAGAGAAAAAAAGTGATCGAACAAAAACTCTAGAGAACTCTTTCCTTTCTTTCCTTTGTTCGACTGAAAACCCTAGACGGAAATATTTTAGGGATTTTTAAAGAGATTTTGAATGATTTGACGAGAGCGAGAGAGGGAGAGGAAAAGGAAATGAGAGAGAGAATTTATATAGAATTGTTGGGAAACCGATTTTTGTAAAATGGTCGTAGATCGGGTTATAATTACGCCACTGCCATTAATACTTTTTCATTTTCTTTTTTGAATTTTTATGGTGGCGAAATAAATTAAATCAGCAAATAAAAAAGCAACGTTTATGGTCGTTTTGATTAGTGATAAACGCCGTCGTTTGATGTTTAATTGTGGTTGGATTATGACATGTTAATTCGTTGTTTAGATGGCAAGCCAACATATTGTATGGATACTTGTTAAATCAAACTATCAAATCAAATATAATAATAATAATAAATGAAATTTTTTATTTATCATCTTATACCTAAAATTAGTAGTCCAAGAAAATTTAAAATTTATTACCAAATATAAATTCTAATATTAATTTTAAAATAAAACTGGCTTCACTTGATCAATTTGACAAAAAAATTATGCCTCTTATTTTAAGCTAAGGAATTTAATATTTAAAAATAAATTAATTTTTTATGAATTTCCAAGTTTTTTTTATGTAAAGTAAAAGTAGTAGCAAGGGGGAGCCAACTTTTAAAAAATTGTAATTTTAGGCCCAATCATAGTGAAGAAACTGAAGCCCAAATTATAAAATTGGAACCCAAGTGAGAGTTTGCTTATTACTTGGGCTTTGACCCAAAAAATTTTCATATTATAATTAGTCAAAAATAACACTAGTTTTTGGGTTTTTTTTTTTTTTGTTTATTAATCGAGTTCCATTTTTATGAAAATTATTTCGAGAATAAAATTTTGAATGCATCCTTTAAATCATCTAAAAAAGAAATTGGGTTCAGATAAAGTTTTATATTACCTCTGTTGGTATTAAAAGAAAATGAGCAAATATTATTGGGCAATTGCGGTGTGATCTATTGAGGGCCAGATGTTGAAGGCAATTGGTCAAGATATGAAAACCTGGACCAAGTTGTGAGCTCTGCCTCGGCCCAATGAAACGACGGATTCATTCCGCAGTTAAAGCCTGGACTTCGTATCCTTCAGCCCAACTCAACAGACAGATTCTCTTTTTTAAAAAATTTTTTTTAACATATTACTTATTAATTAAAAAAAATTTATGTATATAAATTTTTTCCAATTTGTAATCTCTAAAAGTTAACTCCCGGACAGTGGTAACAAACAGGTTCTCTAATACTGTATGAGGCGGCTGAAAAAGGGTCATAAGAAAGCAACTTGGCCTAATTTGGCGGAGAACTTTTGTGTTGCTGTCATGCAAGTTGCAAATATTATTAGCAACTTTGTCATATAAATTGCAATCCAACCCTGCCGTGAATAAACAAATGGAAAGAAATGGAAAACAAGACAAAGCATCTTTAACTCCCTGGCTAATAAACTAGAAGCCTCTTCAACTGACAACATCACAGAATCCCCTTTTTTAAAAAAACAAGGCTGATAATGCGATCTCCGATGAAACTCGTTTTAGCTTTTACCCGCACTTTTTGCGATCAACTGACAACAGCAGAGAGTCCTGTTTAAAAAAAAAACAAAACAAAAAAGGCTGATAATACGATCTCCGATGAAACTCCTCCTAGCTTTTACTCCCACTTTTTGCCATCACACAAGCGCCACACATTCATCTCTTTTTCAGGGGCGTTCATATTTTTAAAGAGTATTCATAATTCGATTAAAATTATTTATAATTTAATTTTAATTAATTGAATTAATCAATTTATTATCAAATTAATTTTGATCAATTAATAAAAATAATTTTTTAAAAATTTTAATTTTTAATAATTCATTTCAAAAATCAAATTAATCAAAATTTTAAGTGTAATATAAAAAGTCTAAATATAAAATAAAAAATACATAAAATAAATTATTTTATTTTATAAATTACCAAAATGTTTAACTTAATATTTAATATTTAAATATTTTATTAGATAGTTTTATTTAATTTCTTTAAAATATAAAAATTAAATTTTAATTTAATTTAAATATTTTATTATTAAATTAATAAAAAAATTTAACTAAACTAATTAAATTCAATTAATTAATTAATTTTCAAAATTAATAAATTCGAATTCAATTAGCAAAACTAATATACTATAATTTAATTAATAAATCTCACTACTCTTTTTAAGATTCTCTTTTCTTTAAATAACAAAAAAATCAAGGCTCAAGGATTCAAAATTAGTTAAATTAGTTGGTTGTTTTTCACTTTCACATAAATACGTTTTTGAATTTCTAATTGCATAAACAAATTGGTGCATGGAAAACAAGTGTCGAATGGTCCTCCCAGGTGCACTTTTAGAGTGCCATTCCATTACAAACTAGAGCAAAAACAAAACATCCCTATGCCAATTGTCACACCAATTTTTCTGAAATCAGATTAAATTAAAAAAAAAAAGACAAATAGAAAAGAAAACTTTATTATGATCAATGGAAAAGTCGCAACATTCAAGGCTCCCAAATTAGCCCTAAATTAAGTTACTCCTAATAATGGATGGGATTGGGACAAAGGGGGGTTAGATGACAACACGCCACGCGTCAATGGCGAGAACCGTTCCTCTTCGTCGCATTGCCTTTAGATGCCGTTACACGTGCCCTCTTCGTCTCCCTTGGATCAGTGTTGACATCAAAGCTCATGCCGTCTCCGCCGACCATATCAGCAAACATCCTTTGTAAATCCTCAAAGCTATCCCCCTAGATTCAAAGAAAATATCAACGGAAGTCGATTAAATCCTAAATTACATATATAACCTCTTAAAAATAATAAAATCAAGGGCACACCTCGTCTTTCACATTGTTCATCATCGAGATCATCTCTTGCATAAAATCACAGAAGTCCTGTTTCACGAATTTTACAAAACTCAGGGGGTAAAAATGGAAATAAAACAGTAAAAACGTTTTATATTAATAAAGACAGATTAAAAGAATTGATATTGCCAAGGCAATCATTTCACTTAGCACAAGGCAAAAGCGTTTTATTTGCCTTGTACGGCAAAAGATTTACCCTTGGCAAAATTAAAAAAGATGATATTTTTACGCACTTGGTCTTCTTCTTCCAAGGGATCGTAAAGGCCGGCGTCATACATTGATCTCTTGCTCTCGTCGGAGAGAACTGTGAGAAAAAAAAACCGCCAATTAAATAACTAATAGGCTGGTAAAATTCAAAGGCGATAGAATTAGACGGAGAGGTTTTGATAATGTTACCGGAATAAGCTTCTTGGATTTGCTGAAACCGGCGTTTGGCTTCGCCGGCGACGCCCGGATTTCTGGCGTATCTGTCCGGATGCCATTTCTTCAAAAATCAAAACATCGGAAAAGTTAAATTTGAGTCCCTAAACGGAGCGTTTTATCTTAAATTAGAAACTCATTAAAGCAACAAATAAAAAAAAAAAGACTTTTTATTACCAGAGCGAGCTTACGATAAGCAGTGCGGATATCGGAGAAGGAGGCGTCCTTGCGAATCCCGAGAACAGAGTAATAACAAGATCCGCCGTTGGATCCTCCTTCCCGATTCATCTCAGCCGTCCAAAATCCCTCCCTCCCTTTCTCTCTCTTTGCTATCTCTCTCGCTCTTCAAAACAAAAAAAACAAGCTACAGAAAAATCATAGCTTTCTGAGACCTTAGAAACAGGAACAACAGCAAGACAAAAATCAAATGTACTTAAATAAGCTGAAACACCAGTTTTTCTTGTCGCTACTTTTTTTTTTTTTAAATCTTTAGGGGCGTTTGGGGTGAGAGAAAATATCTTTGGAAGACCTTCGTGAGATGTAAGAAAGATATTAAAAAGGAAGGTTCGAGAGATTTCGGCCTTATAATAGGCTTCCGAGTTCAGAGTTAGATATTTTCTTGGAAAGTTTTCTAAATGCCCCTGAGTTCGTTTTAAATTACGAGCTTTGCCATTGGGTGCGCTTTTTTCTTCTTTTTTGCGAATCTACTGGGCGCTGAGACGCTTTCGTTTCTCTTCAGGTAACTAGGTGACGTGTACGATTTGGATGCAACCCAATCTTCTAAATTTTCTTTCCTTTTTTTTTGTTTTTTGTAATATGTTGACATGTTTTCCACTAATTTTAAAAACAATTTTATAATTACTTTTTAATTATTTTTATAATTTGTTTATTAATGAAAATTGCTATGATTTCCAAAATTTGTAATTGTATCAAATAATGTTAATACTTTTTTCGACTATAATTATTGTTACATCACTAAATTTGTTTCTTTTATAAGTGACAAAATCCACTATAATGAATGTACTAAAATTTAGTGATTAGAAAAAATAATTAAGATAAAATTAATTAATTCAAAAATAAAAATTACAATGAATAATAAATAAGTAGATATTTATTTATTTAAATCAAATTCAAATAATTATAAAAAGATAATTAATGAATTTAGATAAAAAAATTTACTATCTTGATAGATTTAGAATGAATACGAATGGTATTCTTAAATATTAATTATCTTAATTTATTTAAATTTTTGTGAATAATAATAGATGTTTAAATTTATATATGAATTTATTATTCATTTACACATGTAAAATTTATAAAATTTTATACTTATAAAGTTTAGAATCTTAAAAAGTAATTTTTATTTATTATTAATTAAGAGTGAATTTAAATTTTAAATTAAAATTTTGTTTATTTTATATTTTAATAAATAATTTAAATAAATGAATATTTTAATAAATTTGCATATTTAAATTGATAATACTTATTTAAATAGATTCAAATTAGATAATAATATTAAATTTAAATAAATATTTAAATAAATTTAAATATTATATATATTAAATAAATTCAAATTTTAAAATTTTAAACATAAGGAACATTCATGCCGTTGTCATTTCTATTCAAAACTTGTTTTACAGGCCATTAAAGTTTAATCCAGTGTACTTTAATTTACATTTAAATATGTGATTTATTAATTAATTTATAATTTTTGTATTAAAAGAATAATTTTTTTTCAAATAAAAAAGGCTATCCTTGTCTTAGTTTTTTTTTTTTTTTTTAAGATTTATAAATAGTTATCAAGCCAAAAAAGAAAAAGAGCTAAAAAAAGTTTGAAACTCAAATACTAATATCTTTAGCTCTTACTGTTAAGTTTATTAAATGGTGCTTTAGTAATTTTGGAAAGTGTTGTAGTTGTTTGACTTTTCTAGATGGCATAATCTGTCCATAAAGGTTGATTTAAAGGCTGAACCAACTGCTAAGTTGTCGTCACATGATTAGCTTTCATCTTCCTTGATCAATCATAGAATTTCTTGCACTTTGGATGGTTTGCAGCTCAGTCCCCAATTAAATCATTAGTGTTATGTGTTTATTACAATTATTTAATCTTAATATTTCATGTTATATTCGTGAGCATATTACGTATAATTATAAGATTAAAAATAAAAATAATAATTTGTGACTTATTTAATTAATTTAAATTATATTTAAAAATATTAGAATTTAATTTTCAAAAATTATGATTTTTTTTAATTTTTAAATTATGATCTTAAAAAATGATAAGTATCGATGGCCTTTATTTTTATCTTATAATTAATTGGTTTTCAAGATTCTTGAAAGATATATGTTAAGAATAAAATCCGATAGATTAAGAATGTTTAAACATAAACATTCATCTAATTCAACCAAGACACAATTTGTAGTGATTAATTTGGTTTTAGGATTATAGGAATTGAAAGGCTACAATCAGTAATTGATATTTTTCAAACCATAGTTCTTTATGCTTGATTAAAACCATAGTTAGATAGGCTTGCTAGGAATCTCATCATGATAACTCTTATTTCAATTATTAAGTAAAAGCTTTAATTTAATTAAACATCTACGTTATAAAAAATATGATTAAATAATTAATTAATCACACAAAAAAAATACTTTAACGTAATTTAATTCAACAAATTTATAGATACATCAAATCATACAATCAATATGCATGCGACTAATTATATATATGTCGATTATTTTAATATTCTCTTGTTCACAAAAGTATACACATTCATGAAAATCCTCTTGATCTCCTCTAATTTTATAGGATATCTATATTATAAAATCTTATAGCTTTCTTATATTTTTCTCCTCTAGTCTTAGTACAAAATGTCTTTTTCCATTTAAAATTTTTCATTTATAAGTATTTTTGTTCGTCAAACAAATCCAACCTATCTAAAAAAATTCTCCAATAAATCTCTGATATGATTGGAGTCATTGTTCTCGACTTCTCCTCATGGCTATAGCATTTGGAAGAAGAACCATGCAAAGAGTTTTTTTTCTAGCAGAAGGAAACTTACCTTAGATGTGGTTTACTTTCTGGTGAATTTCTTGGAAATTTATTTTATGTTGCAAACCTGTTGGTTTCCTGCAATAAAAGGGTTGCAACAAGCGCCCAATTGCTACAATGGGGGCACAAAGTCTGTAATCCTGCTGCTAATCAGAGTTCGTAAAATACAAACAGGCGTGGATGTTACACTCTGAGTCTGAAAATCGAAGAGAATGTCAAGATGACTAGCAGTCTACGACAAGTTTCCGGTGAAGATGATTCCATGGTTATCTTAGTATTAAACAAACAGATCCTGAAAATCTCAGAATTTGATTATTGTATTAATGATTTTAACTTACAAACAGTATTTACAAAGACCCTTTTTGTTACAACTTACAAGGATGACAGCTTTCAGCTAATCCTAATATGAGCTGCCTATGCACAACATACACAAGCCTTTCCACAGGAAAAACAACTGCATAATATTTAGAAACCTAAGCTAAAACATCTAGGAGATTGTTGCCTCCTGATTGCATCAAACTAGAGTAGATGTGATTTTGCAATCAACTTACAGAACATTGCCAGATGAAAAACAGAAAATCTACAAAGCTAACACATCTTGGAGAAGCTTGCCTCCAAAATTCTGAGATGCCTAATTGCTGTAATCTAGTCACTTATGTACATATGCCTTGTGGAAACCAGAGCCGCCTTCTTGCAGCTCCGCGCCTGATTGACCTCCACTGGATAACAGCTCGTAACTTCAACCACCCAGCTTTGGGACACACATCTCTTGCCTTTCCCATGCTTCGGCTATGTACATCGAAGTTAGGGGAAGAAGAAAGGATGCCTACAGATGATTCGCAGTGCGGAGTCATAAAAAATCCATTGCCTTGTTCCCATGCTGGAGTAGCTGAAGCCCAACTAGGCATTTGAGCTTGAGAATTATCCTCAGTAACAAAATGGCTATCTGGCAAAAGTGACAAACTGCTCTCTCCATTGTAAGGGAAGATTCCCTCCATTCTGAAACTGTTTCTTAGCGTTGGATCAAATGCTTGAATTGCATGTCCATCTTGTGGTAGAGAAACCTGTAATTGATTGATATCTTCCACTTCATAGGCATAGGATGTTGAGGATTGGTTGAAATCCAGTGGCGTGTCTGCTTGATCTGCATACATACAATAAATCAATGAAATCAGAGAGGCGGTAGTTAAAAGAATCAGGTTAAGAGCAAGTAGAGTTTACGATATAGCCAGCGACATGTACTTTGAAATAACAACTATGTGATGTCAGTATGTGACATCCAAAGTCTATCTTGGGGTCCAATTGGTAAATTTAACTATTAATTTTCTCTGTTTAGTTGATACAGGGGAAAGCATTTATTTTGTCTGCTGACATAGGATTCATCATCCTAAAGTAAGGATCCCATAGGCATAAACAGGTGGGTGCATAGTTGATTTTGTACTTCAATTAATAAAAAAAGAATTTGAACTGATTAATAGATCATCTCCATAAATTTCATTATGTGTGCATAGTTCAATTTACTATAAATTATTGTACCTTGGTTTGCAACTGAGAAATCAGGCTGCTGCAGGAGTAAATTTGGTATGCTATGTGGCTCAGGCAGCAGATCCATCAAGGGCATTGAGAGGCCCATGATTGCTCGCCGATCGGTCAAGACCATGTCCCAAACATTCTTGTGAGCTAGTCTCTTTGTATCTTCCACCTGAAGCTGCAAATTTATTGGAGAAATCATTTAATCTTAAGTCATATGGAACAGATCTGAGATGCAGTACAGTAAATGATATGATTTACTGTCTCTACTTTTGTGTATCTATATTAGTTTAATGGATATGACACACTAACCTTCTGAGAAAAGGTTAATTTTTCCACAGGCTGGTAATTTTCGCCATCAAATGTTGCAGCCACAACCTCGTAAATGGAATTTAATAGGAGTCCTACCCTATGTGCTGCTCCATAGTAGGTATACCACTCATCATCATCTAGAACACAAGAAAAAGCATGTTCTATGATTGTATCCCATACCCTATTTGAGATCCCACCACCGAGTATCTGCGTTAATGTCACAATTCAGATAGGTTCAGCAGAAGAATAGAAAAAGCTGAGAAAAACATGCACCAAGACTACATGATCAAATGTTCTGATTGACATGAACAATTATTTACTTACATTGCGAAGCGCAGATGGATCAGTAACTTGCAACCGCAGGAAGTCCTTTACGGTACGAATATTTTTAGAGGCCAGCCGTTTATGGAAGGCACCATCTTTTGCTATCCTTTCCAGACGCCACACTTCATCACGCAGGACTGGAGGGTAGTGTTTCTTATACACTGCATGAACAAACTCTATGTCAATTCTCAAGATTATTTGTAAATTCAATTACAAAGAAAATACGGGGATTGAGGCCAAAAAGGCATTTGAACTTACACTCTCCGCGATGATCCTTCACCACAAATGCTTCACTTGTAGCCTCCCTGATTTTCATTTCACCAGAAATTCTTTGAACAACTCTAGCTCCTAATCTAAACTTTCTACTTCTTATCCAGCTAGAATTGTCAGTGAAAATCACATTATCAACAGTACCAACACCATCAATCAACGTAACATTGAGATCCCCAGTCACCAGTGGCCTTTTACCTTCTCTTTCACGAAGAACTCTCGCATTGAATTCATTTTCTGTCCAATCTTCTCTTTGATCAGCACCAAAATCACCATCAAGGACTACAACCTCAACCTTAATAGAAGAGAGTGAACCAGATGAGACCATTGTCTGGCTAGTTGCATCGAATAGGATAATCGTAATCGGATTGCTATCCTCAGCTTCAACCTTGCTACCGGTGAATATGGTAGAGGGCAGTCTATTGACAAAACGCAACTGCAAACTTCTTCCTCTAGATGCCTTAATCTGATTAACCAAGGACCTGAAAACAGTAAAAAAAATACCAACTTTAGACTGGTAATTGAGAAATTTCGGAAAAACTTATAAGGAGACACTAACATATGGCATAACATAGGGATCAAATTATATTTTATGAGGAGCTTTAAAACCCAATATTCAAAATAATTCTAGTATTGCACCCTTGGCATCAAAATACAAGCTGAAGTTAATTCTGAGAATCTTGGAGATGCTGGTTCTGTCAGATTGATAAAGATCTAATACAACAGGGTTGAATGGAACACCAATACCAAGTATTAGATAAATGAAATCCATATCATTTTCATCACAGCTAGAGAAACAAATCCTTGAATACGTATTCCAGGAAAATTGGTTCAATAGCTTACCTTGATGATGGCTGAAAGGACGATAGAATGGCACTTTCCACTGCCTCCCTTACCTAATCACCATGATATGCAGAAGAGTTAAAATACACAGATATATTAATTCAATCCAGGATTCAAGCATAAAGAGAAGCATTCAGCTTATAAATACATTGATCAATACAGTGTGTGGGGTTATTATCATAAGCTTTGCCTCATTAGTTGATCCATCTTTTATAAAAAGTACTAATTTCTTTGTATCAGTTGATGAACAAATCCTATATGTCATAGCAGTTCATAATTCCTAGACTTCCAAAAGATGAAAGGAAAGAGAAAGAGGGCCAAAGTTTTTGGTCCCTTTCGAAAAGTACAGGTCAACAACTACTGTTCAACTGCTTGAATCAGCTAAAGCTTTCAAAACTGATGTTTACATGCTTTGTTTTTGAAGAATTGAATTTACAAAATGAGAGATAAACATCCCAAGTTGAGCTCAGAAGATTAGTTGCTAATACGAACCCAAAAGAAATTACTTACCCATAATCGAAGCATTGGTTCCAGGTTGAGCACAATTCTATTCAGGGAAAGCCCTCCCAATCCCATAATGCTTCTTCTGACAGCACTGCACAAGAATTAAGTGAAGAAAACCCAAATCAGAAACATGCAAAAGTGGCTTAGAAACAAAAAGAAACGAACTCATCTAATTCCAAGAAACCAACTCACTTCTTCAGGGTTGTTCTTCTTTTTGTCTCTGGAACCATAACTTCCAGCCTCTCATCACCTCCATCAGGAGCAGGCCTCTTGCTAGGCAACATCATGAAAAAAGATAAAAGAAGAATCTGACAATGACCTTTTCACAAACCAAAAAATGCAAAAACCAAAACACTAGCCCTGTAACCAAAACCTTCTCAAACTGTCTTCTTATAAACAACTAAGCAAAGAGCATTGCCTCCATTGACTTGTAGAACTCTAAGTCACAGAAGATACGTGGAAGCTCTTCAAAATCACTGTTACAGAACACGTAATGTCACTAAAGTCAAGAAGATATTGTATTAAAAAAAACACTTTAAAACAGCAAGAAAAACCCAAAAAGAAAAAGACCAACTTAAAAAAGACATTAATTTATACTAGTTTTGTGAGGACACTTTTGAAAGTATCATATCCGAACGGATATTCGTATCCTAGCAGTATAATATTTATAATATTTAAATTGAATATTATTATCAAAATTTAAATCTATTTAAATAAATATTATTCAATTAAATTTTGAATTCATTAAAATATTTATTTATTTAAAATTTTTTATCAAAATATAAAATAAATAAAAACTCTATTTAAAATTTAAATTTATTCTTAATTAATAATAAATAAAAACTATTTTTTTAATCCAAATTTTTTTATAAATATAAAATTTTATATAAATAATAAATTCGAACATAAGTTTAAACATTTATTATTGTTTATTAAAATTTAAATGAATTTAAATATTAAATATTTAAATATATTATTCATGTCTATTTTAAATATAAATAATAAATTTTTTATTCAATTAACTAATTATTCATTTTTAATTATTTAATTTTGATATAAAAATTAAATAATAATAAATATTCATTTATTTATTATATATAGGCATCCCTACCTTAGATGGTACACATCACTAGACTAGACTCCAACAAAAAAAAAAAAAACAACTAAAACTAGAAAAAAAGTGCCACTAAAAGCTTTGGGTTTTCAAAGGTATAATAATGAACGGAACCTGGAACAAGAACAAGAAGAAACGCGTGATCATCATTGAAAAGTACATGTAACGGACAAAAAGTAGTACTATAAAAACGAGTAATCCAATCAAACAGAAAGCTTACACGTTTTTTTTTTTTTTTTCTTTCAGTTCTAACAAGAAAAATTGTGGCAAAACGCGGTTAGATTAAACGCGTGCATGGGAAGAATTGTATTAATCAAGGAAACTGCTTGAAATTGACGTAAAACATGAACAGAACATTTTTTTCTACAAATACGCGTTGGATTAGGTTTGAGATGTTTTTGGAATTTGACAAAGCCACTCTCTTTTCTACCTTCTCTTAACTGAATTTCTCATGTCATTCTGATCTCTAACTAACAAAAGTATGTACTTTAGTAAATGGTAATTGTCTTTCTGACAAAGATTCTAATGTTTTTTTTTTTTTAGGGAATATCTGCCAAGAATCAAGTTTATTCCCTTAGTTGCATACTTTTAGGAATGGTGAATTAACCCGACCCTAACGAGTTTCGATCCAATTTGATCCGATTTTATGAGATTGATTTTTTTTTTTAAATTTGATTTTCGAGTTGTATCGGATAAAATTAAAAAATAATCAGGGTCGATTCGGATTTGAGTTTACCTAAAACCCGATCCGATCCAACCCGAATATTATATTAAAAATTATTTTTTAATTAATTATTTAATTTTTTATTTATATATTTATATAATGATATTTTTAAATATTTATATTTCAAAAATAATATTTTATATTTAAAAATTAATATTTTATTAATTTCGGGTCGAATCAGATACGATTTATATAGTATCAGAGTCAGGTTGGGTTCGAATATGAAAAAATAAAAAAAAAATTTCTAATAGGGTCAGGTTCAGGTTTTATAAAAAACATTAGAATCGAGTTGGGTTCGGGGCGAGCAAAACCCGCCCCAAACCTAACCCGATGCCAATCCTACATACCCTTCTATTTTTTTTTTTTAATTTAAATAAATGACTTGGACTGAAATTCATGTTCTTGCTTTTTTGCATATAATTTACCTTTTTAGACGGGGATTTAAAATGCAGTGAGGGTTATATTTATTATGGTTATGAATATTATGAATAAAATAGTAATAGTATGTTTATTATGATAGTGAAGTTTTATAAATTTTTTACAATGAAGTAAAAATATAATTTGATATAATAATATTTATTTTTTATATTTAAAGTAATTTATAATATTTTAATGTAATATTTATAAGCAAAATAAATTTTTTATATATTTTAATTATAACTCAAAATCAATATACTATGAAATTCATAAATATATTAAAAAAATTACAAATAACAATTTTAATATCTCATTATGATTGTAATTTTTATTATACTATTATTTACAAACATGATATATATTATTTATGTAAATGACAATTCATGTTTCTTGCGATAAATAATGATGACAGAAAGCAATATTATCACTAAATAACACGCTTACGTTATGAAATCCATGTTTCTAGGCTTTTACTAATCATCAGTGATATTGACAATAAAAAGAACCACAAAAAAAAAATAAAATTTGTCGTTTAGAATGAACACAGTCGGTTCGAACCCTAATTTTGATATAGTTTTTAAAATTATCTTAATCATTAAATCAAACAATTGAAGATCATTAAAAAAATTTTAATACAAAAAGCTGAATCATTAAAAATTCTTAATACTAATTATAATCTATTGAATCTTCCATACCTACTTGAATTTTATATTACAAGATAAAACTAAAAACGATAATCATTAATTGCAAAAGTTTGTTAAACCAACGAAAGCATGTACTCTCCTTTCTACCTTCTCTTAACTGAATTTCCCATGTCATTCTGATCTTTTAACTAACGAAAGCATGTACTTTAGTAAATGGTAATTGTCTTTCTGACAAAGATTCTATTTTTTTTTTTTAAAGGAATATCTGTCAAAAATCAAATTTATTCCCTTAGTTGTATACCCTTTTATTTTATTTTTTTATTTATTTAAATAAAAGACTTGGATGGAATTCATGTTCTTGCTTTTTTTGCATATAATTTACCTTTTTAGACGGGGATTTAAAATGCAGTAAGAGTTACATTTACGGTCATGTCATATTTATTATGATTTTGAATATTATAAATAAGATAATAATAATACGCTTATTATGATAGTGAATTTTTAAAAAATTTTACAATGACGTAAAAGAATAATTTGATATAATAATATTTATTTTTTATATTTAAAATAATTTATAATAGTTTAATAATATATTTATAGGTTAAAATAATTTTTTTTCATATATTTTAATTATAACACAAAACTAATATGCTGTGAAATTCATAGATAATTAAAGAAAAACACAAATAACAATTTTAGTATCTCATTATGATCATAATTTTTATTATATTATTATTTATACAAATGGATTCATATCTCTTGTGATCAATAATGATGATAAAAGGCGACGTTTTTGCTAAATAACAGCCATTATAACACATCACTAAGGTTATTAAATCCATGTTCCTAGACTTTTACTAATCATTCTTGACATTGACAACAAGAAGAACAAGTAGACAAATTTTTAATGCAAAAAAACTGATTAATTAAAAATTCTGAATGCTAATTATAATCTTTTGAATCTTTCATACCTACTTAAATTTTATATAACAAGATAAAACTAAAAATGAGAATCATTAATTGCAAAAGTTTGTTAAACCAATAGCTTTCAAAAGATTTATCTCATCTCCATACTTTGGTCTTTTTTATAATATTTAATTGTTAAAGTTTAAATATTAGACTAGACAATGATTAATCATAAATAATATTAAATTATCAATAATTTTTTAATTGATTGGATTCGAGTTCAAGTAATTTAATTTTATTTATAATTATAAAAATTTGATTAAATCCAAATTAATCCAATCATCTTTGCGTGATTTTTTAAACAAAAGTATATTATCAATCAAAATACAGCTAAGAATTGATAACTCCAAAGAATAACAGCATGCAAAGGTGTCTTAACATGTTTTATCTTGTTATTTTTTTAGTAAATAAACCAAAAAAAAAAAAAAAGAGAGATGATAATCATAAAATCCTTAATAAAATTCTCAATCTCAAAACTTTATTAGGTGGGCTAAAATTAAATACTCCCACTTGGTTCACCATGTCAGTTTCAGTGTTGGCCAACATGCAAATGCCTGTGAGACTTCTCTCTCTCTCTCTCTCTCTCTCTCTCTCTTTTTGCTGCATTTTTTTTCCTAAAATCAGGAATGGTGGCTGCTGTTGTTTCACATTAGAGTTAAAGCAACCTTACTGATTACTCCAAAAATTCTTTTGCATGCATGTAAATCTTATCAATTTAATTACGTGAACATTCAATTTCTTGAGTTCATTTATGATATATTGTTTGCACCAAATTTCCCTTTTTTCCCTTTTAATTTTTTCAATATTCATCAAATAAAATTTAAGCATGTGCAAGTAACATTAATTCCCTAAAGAAAAAATTTTCCCAGTAAAATAAAAAAAAAGTGACATCTGATTTGTAAGAAGAGGAACAGCTGTCGAAGTTTCATGTTGTGTTGATTTTCAAGTTCTTTGCAAGTTCATGGAATTTGCAGTCTCATTTACTCCATGGAAGAATTTTCAGAGAAAATTCATTGGTCACGAAAACTCCTGGAAACTTATGCTCCAAATTTAATATACTTTTCTTTTTTTACTATTACTTTGTCTGGAACAGTTATATTTGAACATATTGATAATTTTCAAGTGATATGAAGCAAAAATTAAACCAACTATTTTTTTTTTATTATATCTTTTCATTTTAGATATACACTTATTTTTTATTTTTTATAAATTTTATAGTTCGTTAAATATAATAAAATTGATTCGAATTGAATAAAATACTAAAATTTGAATTGATTTTTGGTTATTGATAAATATAAAAGGCATTTGCAAGCATATTAATAATCAATTTTAATTCAATGGTGCGAAGAAAGCAATAATTTTGTTTTGGACCAAATGGCTAATTTTCAAACAAGTAGTACTGAAAAGAAATCCCCCAACCGACAATCAATCATATATTGTAGCAGTTATAATACTTTTGTCAATTAATCAAAATTCTAGACAACGACTAAGACAAAGTCCAAGACAAACTAAAGGGCAGACCGTGGACTTGGCTCCTATTGTGCGGAGTTGAAACTTGTTCTATAACCACCATAGTTTTCATGAAATTAATGGCAGGGAAAGACTTAGTCTAAGTTATTTAGATAAAGTTTATGCAATTTTTTTATTAAATTTAATATATTAAAATATCTCGTTATATAAATTAAATATATATAATTTAAATTTTTTAATAAAATTATATATATTTATATATTTGTTTAATAAAAATATTAATAAAATTTTTATAATTAAATAAGTATCGATCAAATTAAAATTATAAATAATATTTTTATATATTATTAATTTTTATATTAAACTTTATTAATTTATATTTTTTATTAAATTAATTTTTTTAAAAATTTCATAAATTTCATCTAAAAAATTTGACATAAGTTTTATCCATAAATTAAAACTACAGTGTTCTTATTTTATGAAACTCTCATCATTAATCATTTAATTTATTTATTCGTTCTTTTTTCTTCTATTTATACATGTTTACTCCTATTCATAGCGACGCCAGTATCATGATATTGGAAGGGCCAAACATTAAGTCAATAGTAAATTAAATAAGAAAGGGACCGAGAATGAAAATAACAGTACTAAATCAATAATTTTAAACTTATTAAAATTTTTTTAAGGGCCATGGTCCATGATGCTCCTATATAGATCATCAATGGCCCTATGTTGATCACAAAAATATTGAGGAAAATTCAAGATGGACGAAATTTTAGAATCAATGGCCTTAGTCATTGACTTATGTATTAAAACATATCTTTATTCAAAGAATTGGATTCCAAACCTTTTTTATTTTGATTAAAACAATTTTTAATTTAAATAGAGACAGCTATATTAACGTTATATGTTTAATTATTTTGGAATTTTTCATGAATTTTAATTTTTTAAAATTTTTGCCTAAACAAAAATAGAGTCTAGATATGCTAATTGAAACTCACACTTGATATTGATAGCAAGTGTAACATTAAAAAAAAAAAAAAAGAGATTGAAGTTTAAGGTTTGAATATGTTGTTGTTTCCTTCTTTTAAGTTTTATCATATATACAGAAAAAAAATCAATGATTTATGAATTATGATCTATGTTATATATATAAATAAGGTGAAAGGTTATTGTCATATTATCCTGTCTTTTTTCCTTTATGTGCCTTGAAATGGTTTATAGTAATTTTTTGGCTTTAATTTTGTAATTATTTACTACAATATAGATAGGGTTGACAACAAGTCGAGTCGAAGCAGGGTTTTTGCTCGCCCCGAACTTGATTCGGTCTTAATTTTTTTTCATAATTAAACCCGACCCGATCTAATAATATATAAACTGTACCTGACCCGATTCTACTCAAAATTAATAAAATATTATTTTTTTAATATAAATATTTAAATATATAATTATATAAATATATAAAATTTTAATTTAAAATTTATTTTTATATAATATCAAGTCGGGTCGGGTCGGATTTGTATAAAATCCGAACCCGACACGACCTCTTATTAGCACTATTCGACCCGACTTGAAATCCGATTAAAAAAAAAAAATTGACCCTATGAGTTTGGGTCGAGTTAAAACCTGTCGGAGGCGGATTGGGTTGTTTACCTTAAATATAGATTTGATAATTTAAAATACGATATAATAATATAACATAAATATGATAAAAAAATATAATACAAATATGATATGATTTTAAAATTTTAACAACAACAACTATATATGAGTTTAACAACACTAAAAAAATGTATTTTATATTTTTATATTTATACGAATTATGACATATAATTTTTGTATAAAATTTACTCAAATAATAATATTTGATTACAAAAAATAAAATTATAGAAAATAAAAATAAACAAAACAAAGTCCATTTTTTAATAATCCATAGAATTTTGATCTAAAGTTTTATCAATCCAAGCCCAACAAAGCAGTTATGATGAAATAGCAATCTTCATTTGTTCTTTAGGCCACAAAGCCCATTACTTCTCCTCTTCTTTGTCAAGGCATTGTTACTTATTCTCCACAATTCTGCAATCCTAAAGCGAATAGGAAATGAAAAATCCTATGGCCGGCAATCTCTTTGCTGCCGTTGACATTGGCACGAATGCCTTCAAGCTTCTAATAGTTCAAGCTCATCGCACAGGCAAATTCATCCCTGTTTTAACCGTCAAAGAGTCAGTCGTATTAGGCCATGACTCACCTTCTTCCGCAATCTCCACCCATTCCCTACACCTCTCTCTCAAATCCCTTAAAGATTTCAACGAACTCATTCAGACCCACCATGTCCCGTCTCTCCACACTCGCTGTGTAGCCACATCGGCTGTCCGTGAAGCCGAAAACAAGGCCCAATTCATCGACTCAGTCGCTGAAACCACCGGGTTCGACGTTGAAGTTTTATCAGGTGAAGAAGAAGCCCGGTTTTCTTACCTGGGTGCCCTTCAATTCTTGCCTGTTTTTGATAATTCGGTTTTGAATATCGATATCGGAGGTGGGTCAACTGAGTTTGCTATTGGGTCACGTGGAAAGGTTGACTTTTGCTTGTCTCTGAAGCTTGGTCACGTGACTTTGACTCAACAGGGTTTCGGGGGTGAAGAAACTGAAAGAGTTTGGAACATGAGGAAGTATATTAGGAATGTAATTAAGGAATCTGGGTTAGTGGAGAAAGTTAAAAACTTTGGCTTTGAAGTAGCTGTGGGTTCATCAGGGACAATAAGAGCCATTGAAAAAGCAGTTTTTAAAGGGTATGGATTAGATTTTGTTGATAATGAGGCTTTGTTTAGGGAATGTAAAAGGGACTGGAGGTTTAACAGAGAGGAATTAAAGAGTGTTGTTGAGAGGTTGTGTAAAGGAGAAGGACAGAAAGTTAGGAGAGATGGGTTTTTTAAGAGAAGGTCAGAGTCTATTGTCGCTGGTGGGGTTTTGTTGGAGGAGATATTTGATTTGCTTGGGATTAAAGAAATGTTGGTTTCTGGTTACGGATTGAGAGAAGGTGTGATTGCTGACACTTTAGCTAAGGTCTTTGATGATGGATATGATTTGAATGCAAATGCTCGGTTTCGGTCCCTTTTGCGGCTTGCTAAAAGGTTTAATGGCAAAAGGAAGACCACTTCTGCTGCTGAATGTGCTAGCATTGCGAGGGTGATTTCATGTCTCTTGGTTTTAGACTTTTAATTTTCTTAGGTTGTATAGTTCAAGAATTCATTTCTCAATTGCTAGTTTTTAGAATGATGATTGCTATTATGTTAGCTTGCTGATTAAAATTCGGTTTCAACCTTAAGAAGCAAAAGCTAATGAATAAGAGACTGAATATTTAACTAGTATCTCATACATAAAGAAAAAAATTATCTTGTTTTCATGGATTTAACTTAATCATTCCAGGAGATTTTCAAAGGCTTAAGAAAATGCAAAGAGCTTGATAACAATGGAGTTAACCTTACTGTTCCTTTAGATGACAAAGATCTGGAATATCTTGAAGCCGCATGTTTACTTCACAATATAGGGCTCTTCACTGGTAAAAAGGGTTACCATAAGCAGTCTTATAACATTATCATGGTGAGTTTGATTTTCTCTTTGTATTATTTGCCATAATTATGCATTAATGTACCATCCCTGTCTATGTATTGCTATAAAAAGGGTAAAAATTTTAAGCTTTTTAGAACCAAGAAAAAGTTCTGTTGCTCAGCAAGATTGAAAAAGGAAAAGTAACTTTATGGCATTGATAATCAGCTAGGAGTTTATAAGACTTCGAATTTCCTGCATTGCATAAAATATAAAATTGGAGTTGATTTTTCTTATTCTCCACTTTTTGACATACTTGGTCTATTTTTATAGAATGGAAATAATCTTCATGGATATAGCGCTGAGGAGGTCAAGGTACACTGTCTGTCGATCAATCTTGTTCGGTTAGTCAGGATGTCTAAACATGTTCTCTCTTCTGATCACCTTTTAGTGAAATTGCAGCTAATAGCTCTTGTTACAAGACACCATAGGAAGAAATTACCAAAGTTTGATCATGCTTCCTTTAGTGAGTTTGGAGAAGAGGTATCTTATTCCATATGCTTGGTGATGCATTGTCATTTGCTTTTAAGGGAGTCTGAACTTTTGTAGATATGATCATTCATATTTATTTCAGGACAAACAGAAATTCAGAGTTCTTTGTACAATTATACGTTTATCTGTTGTATTACATCGGAATGGATACGTAAGCTACAAAGAAATGGATTTTTCACATTCTCATGAAGGTTTCAAGCTGGTAATGTCTAATAATCTGATGTGGAAATTAAATATATTCTGTTTTACTTTCTACAATGTTCATGTAGCAGTTTTCTTTCCTTTTTTATCGTTCCAAATTGGTACTGGAGCACTATATACACATGATAAGTTGAATAAAACTTCCCCATTTTCTCTGAGAAAAAGAAAGAGCTGAGATGACATTGTTTACTGCAGCACTTTCTGTGCCATTGCTAACAATGGACAATAATTTGTGTCAGTTGAGTCTCTTCTATGTTTTATAAAGCTCTTGCACATCCTGTTGTAATCAGAGTAACATGTTATACTAATTGCGCATATAGCAAACATGCTTTTCTAAGTCCAATTTTCCATTTAGCTATCAAAGGTAAATGTTTCCACATCCTCTGACTCTTCATGATTTGAAGATTACAAGCATGGTTAATTTCATATTTTTTTAGTATTTCTATAGGATAACATGAATTAAGTTTCCTCAAATATTATAAATATGATCATTACTTCTACCTGAAAAATGCTGCTGGTGGGTGTAGCTGGAATGCTAGATATCCTTAACATTCTTCACTACATTGGTACAGAATAAGGCTTTTGTTTTAGGATTTAGGGGCCCTAAAGGAGTAGGAGAAGGAGCTCCAATTCTCGTTCCATGATGATTGATGGCAGGCTAAAAGATCCAAATGGTCAAAAAGGAAATGAGACTGAGTAACCACCATGCTGGGTGTATTAGACATTTGGCAACATATTTTTAGACTTGCCGCTCAGTGCTTGTGTCTCTTGATTTTGCTTTATATTTGTTATATTAATGCCAAACAAAGTTGTCAAACCAATCTTTCAACTTTTGTGCTTCTTCCTTGTATATGTTTGGAATACTGGAAATTAACAGTCATAACTTTTCTGTTATATTACTTCTATAATAATGCTTCTTAGCCTCTTAGGAAAGCACCCTCCTGTTAAATTGATCTTGTGGTTTCTTTACAGGTTATTGGGGAAGCAAGGGTTCAGACCCTAACGCCTGGAGTTGAGCAATATACAGCTGATAATTTTGAGGCAGAATTAAGGCCTGAGCTGGAATACTTTAAAAAGGCAAGTCTTATCTAGCCTTCTATGAGTACATTTTCCATTATTAAGTTCAGAAACAGACACAATTGATATTTAAAGCTTTATCTTGTACTGACACCTATTCAAGTTCCTTGTTCAGGTATTCAAGCAAGAATTGCTTGTTAAAAATCACTATCATTCTGTTCAAACTAACCAAGAAAATGAAAGTTGCTGATTACCGAGCTGCCAGTTAAATATCTTGACTGAAACCGGATCCTGTTGGACTATCTCGGAAATGAAGAGTGCACTTGCTATTCCTCTACCCTGCATCAAAATTTCCCTTCTCATCTCAGTGCTAGTCGCTGTATCTTGGATGTTCCGAGAGCTAAGAGCTAATAGCAGACAGCCACCCACCAATCAAACACCAGCTCATCTTTGCCTGTGGCAATTCCTGAAATGAGGCTACTGGGGTGTCCTTAAGAACACATCAAGCCTAGTGAAGACAAAAATGCTCAGCAGCTAATACCCGTGTCTAGCGTGTAAGAAAAACGTGAAGACTAGCTTGGTCTCAGCAATTGCTCGAGCAAAATAGCAGCTAATCCAGGCTTTAAGATTAACTGCTTGAGAGCCAACTTTTCTTTTGTTCCAATAGGCGCAGAAAATCTTGCTTGTTAGGCTTCAACTTGCAACTCCAATTGTTGAGACATTATATTTTAGACATATTGATGACTTTTCCTGAAATTTTCTTTTGATTGAATGTAATCTTTTGAATTCATTACATAAAAAATTTATAAAAAAAATGTTATAATCTCATAAATAAATATGATAGATGTAAAGATATTTTCCCTTTCCAACTACCAATTGCACCACTTTTATTACTTGTAGTATTTTTAAATGAATTTCAATTAGACTTAACAAATTCGTATATTTATATTATATTTTATATAAAATTAAGTGTTATAATTTGAATTGAAAATTATAAAATATATTTTTAAATTTTATTAAATTTATATATAATTATTATTAAAATTTTAAGTTATGTTATTTTTATATCTTATTTTCATAATATCATATCAACCTATAATATTTTAAATTATAAAATCAAATTTCAAGTAATGATTTCTTTTTTAGTACTCTGAACTTATCCACTTGCTTATATGGCCTACACCTCACTTGCTGTGAGCAATTATCCTGTCCTACGCCTGCACATACTCAATGCTGCACATACTCCTTTTTTTTTTTTTAATGAAAAAAGAATTATTATTAATATTTCATAATGTTGGTAGAACCAGAAATGGCTTATGCTACTATTTTAACAAAAAAATTTAAAAATCGAAAACAAAAAATTAGAGTAAAAAAATTTCCTTACTAACATTCTGTTAAAACAACGCTGTTTTTACGAAGGAGAGACAAAATATGCCAAAAGGGGAAAGATCCAGTGGGCCATCCCATCCTGGGCTTTTTACTTTTATTTTATTTTTAAATATATATTTTTTGAGCTTTCTAAAATATAAATAAATTCTTTTTAAAAAGAAAAAGTCTTCATTTATACATTCACCGGTCACCACTCACCAGCCGCAGCCAAGTATTCGGTATTTATTTTTCACAGACAGGCGAGAGCGAAAGCTGTAAAAATTTCGAAAATAAAAATAAAAAGAAAAAAGTCGGTGAGTTTCTTCTTCTCCATTGCTATTCTCTTTGTCTTTTTTGTTAGATTGTACTATCAAACTTGTGTGTGTTTGTTTTTTTTTTTTTTTAAATAGAGGAATGTTTGGTTCGCGGGAAAGCGAAGGAAAACAGAGGAAAAATTTTCTTAATCTTATTTCCAGTTGTTTTTGTCTAGTTTGCTTCATTTTTTTCAGGTTACTAATATTGAAGCATTTGAACATTTTCTGCTTTAAATTCTTTCACTTTCCTGCATTTTTCTCCGACCAAACGAGTTTTTAATAACTTTCAAAGCTGTTGACTTTTTGAATCATTTTGCTTAGGCTCTTAATAAAGTGATTTGTTTTAAGATTTTCTGTCTTTTGCTTATAAATTATAATATATTTTTTGAAGTGGTTAAATCAACTGTTAATTGCTTTGTATTAAAGTGATTTGTTTTAAGATTTTCTGTCTTTTGCTTATAAATTATAATATATTTTTTGAAGTGATTAAATCAACTGTTAATTGCTTTGTATTGGTTTATAAGAGCAAGCAAAACCTTGTTCAATTCTTTTTTTATAAAGTATTTAATTTTGTACTTTTTTCTTTGATTGGTGAGAAAATGGATGGAAAAAAATTTAAAAAAATGAAAAAAAGGAATAAACTTGGTGTTGAAAAGCTTGCTTGAGTTGTTTGTTTCCCTGGATTTATAACTTGACGTGTATTAGCTTATTGCTTAAACTATTTGTCTAATGTATCTCTTTTGCTTTGTTTTGCTTTGAAGTGGCATTAACTTAGCAGGGTCCGTTTTTGCATAGGGAGTTTGAATTTTGGACTAATCATTCATCAAGTTGTATAGTTAATTGGTTATGGTTGTCACGGTTATGATTTTGGCCAATAAAATGCTAATAGTGAGGAATGATGCATCAAACATAACATATGATGATGATTTGCAGTGATTCAAGCTAATGTTTGTTTTGTTTTTGGATCTCCTCTTTAGTGTCGTTGGCTGTGCCTTTCTGGAATGGGGTTTAAGGAAAAAACTATAAAGCTGGGAGTTAAGGAGGACAAAGGCTGCGAAACAAAAACGATATGTGTGCATGCTTTTACTGATTTGACCTATGTTGCTCCCGTCGTATTCTTATACCTTCTTAAAGAATGTTATGTTCATGGTAAGGTCTTGCTTCCTTTCATTGCTAATCTTGTTATTCACTTGGAAATGCTTTCGCTGCCTTGTTTACTGTGTTGCACAGTTAATTTTCTAGTGGTTTTCCCTGGCTTTTTCTTGTTTGTTCTGATTCTCTATAGATGATTTGACAGGAAACCTGAAGGCAACTAGAAAGTTCCGAACTCTCCAACAACAAGTCCACCAAGTCCTATGTAATTCCCCCCAACCTGGACCGGCTACTTTTGTTGCTTATTGTCTGTATATCCTGCCCATGTTTGGAACATATTGTGAAGGTTTCAGTCATTTGATCGTATCTGCCCTTCATCGTTTTCTAAAGAAAGCAGCCAACACTGGAGACTCTTTGGAAGCAAAAAGTTTAGCTGCTCGATTATTTCTCTATATTGTTGAGGGTTCTATTGACCATGATGAGAGGATTGCTGTAAAGATACTTGAAGTTTTTGATGTCAGGTTGACAGATATTGAGAAAGTTGTATCCCAATTAAAGGCCCAGAATGACTCTAGGTTTGACAGTGCAAAGACATTTGTTGAGCGGTATATATTTGGATTGATAGAATCACAATCATATATGACGGCAGTGAGTCTGTTGGAACATTTCTCTATTCGTCAATCTGGGCAATCTTTTCTCATCAAAATGATGGAAAACAAACAATTCAGAGCAGCAGAGAAGTGGGCAATGTTTATGGGGAAGCCAATGTTATCCATTCTTGTCCAGGAGTATGCTGACAGGAACATGCTTAAGAATGCTTATGTGATTATAAAGAAGAACAATCTCCAGCATGAATTCCCAGATGTGCATCACAAGTACAAAGAAAGGTACCTGAAAAGATCTTGCTCTCCAATATGACTGCCCACCTCTGACCCCAGAAAAAGGCTGGGAGGAGAGGTGTTAAAAACAGTAAATATTTTACTGCTATTTTACCTTATTGTAGTGCATTAAAAAAGTTAGCAGAAAAAGCGTGCTGGGATGTTGCAGAGGCAAAGACACATGGTGATAGACAATTAATTGAGTATCTGGTAAGTATCTTTTTACATGGATCATATCATTTCACAAGTAAGTCTTTGTATGTTTCTATATCCTGTTGATTTTGACTACTTCTTATGGATGTTAGGTTTATCTGGCTATGGAAGCTGGTTACTTGGAGAAGGTTGATGAACTGTGTAATCGTTACTCCCTTGAAGGTTTTTTGAAAGCAAAAGGTATGTTCATTAATTGATGGGCCCTGTTTTTGGAAATAAAGAAACAGGATATATAGAGTATGAATGTGTACCAAAACTATAATGATGAGCACTGGTTCATATGAAAGCTAAACTCAAGACTGTATAATAAAAGTATATAGAGTTCTTAAATTTGTGTACCTTCTTCATATGTTCAGGGTGATATTTTATATTGTTTAACATTTATATTGCTTATCTTTTGATGCTGTTAAAAACCACTAATACCACGTGCTAGTACTTGGTGTTTAGTGTTCTGGTTTGGTGCACTACTTGTAGATGTAAGTAGATTTTTTGGACTTATTTGAGATTAGGCTCAATGCGACTCTCATGCTGATAGTTATGCTTTTGTTCCAGAACTTGAAGCTAGTTTTCTGCATCGTCGCTTTTTAAATCTCAATGAATTGGTAGTAGAAGACATAATTTGGGTTGATGAACTTAATGGTCTCAATAAGGCAGCATGCCGCATTGAGGGTTCCAAAGTTGTGGGCCTTGATTGTGAATGGAAACCCAATTATGTAAAAGGTAGCAAACCGAACAAGGTAAGCAGGGTATCATCTTCTTTCATTTTCTATAGTTGTGTGAACTCGCTTGGTTGATATATGCTAGGTCCTTTACACATTTGTACATAGAAAAAATAACCCCCAAAAAAGTTTATGTATTAGTTGAATATGAGCATTAGTCCTCTGTTTTGCAATTTACTTCATTATTAAATCAGTGACAGGCTTGTTTGGGTTTGCATTAGCAAACCATCAATGAATAAACATTTTGGCTTTTTTTGTCTATCCAGTATGAATTACGACTGATCAAATTGTCCTTAAACACTAAAACTGTGCTTTCCATGTTTCAGGTTTCTATCATACAAATAGCTTCAGATAAGAAGGTTTTCATCTTTGACTTGATAAAGTTATATAAGGATGTGCCTGATGTTTTGGACAACTGCCTAATTCGCATCTTGCAGTCTCCAAGAATTCTAAAACTTGGTATGAAAATCTGTCGTTTGTGAAAAGAGGGAAATCCTGTCCTCAGTTTGCTACAATTTATATATGGATCTCACATTTCTAGTTATCTTGTGTGATATATCTGAAACCAGCCTGGTATATACACATTTAATTTTCTATGCATAGAAAAATTCGCTAGTGTAATCTCACATACTTGTGAATGTTTGTATTCTTGATTGTCTGGTTTGAGAAGGCATGATTCTTCTAATAATGCTAAGTATAAACATACTGCACAAATTGTAGGTTATAATTTTCAATGTGATGTAAAGCAACTAGCTCGATCATATGGAGATTTAGAGTGTTTCAAGTGCTATAATATGCTATTGGACATCCAGAATATTTTCAAAGAACCCCGAGGTGGCCTCTCCGGTCTTGCAGAGGTAAGCTATACATGAAGTCCGTATTTGTTCCTTCTGTCCTTCCAAATTCCTTGTCAAATATAACTATTTTTCCTTTTATTATTCATTTCCCACAAATTGATGGTTCACAACTCCTACTCAGAAAATATTGGGAGCTGGCTTAAATAAAACAAGACGGAATAGCAACTGGGAACAAAGGCCATTGACTCGGAATCAGGTATATATATATATATATATATATATATCCATGGTTTTGTTCCTTCATCCTTCCCATTTGCTATTATTTGAAGGACTGTTATGTTTCTTAATTTTATCGTTCTGTCAGTGTTCACATTTCAAAATTTTCTTGAATTTTTGTTCAGCTTGAGTATGCTGCTCTAGATGCTGCTGTTCTTATTCAAATATTCTACCATGTTTGTGATCATTCTCATGCTGCTGATGTATCAGACGGGCATCACAAAATTGAATGGAAGTCCCACATTGTAAGTATGTGGTAATGCTCCCACATGTAAGGGCAAAGGGCATGTTAATGGCAAGCTGCATCTTATTTTAGGATTATTTTGCAGGTTTCTCACATGGATAACCCACAGTCCAAACAGGAATCTAAACTTAGAAAAGAGGTGGAAGTTGAGGACAATGAGTCGTGAGGATTGAGTTTTCGTCCCAACCACACCAAAGTCATCCGTAAATTGTTTCAGTTTAATGTTAGTACTAATTCATTGAGGTTATGATTGTGAATAGTCTTGATATTGACATGGGGAAAAGGCAATCTTCACAGCATTGTCAATCTTCAGCCCTAACATAGTGATATACAGTAGTCTGATCAACCTTTGGGACCTTATGTGACTTCTCTGACCTTCTGTTCATTGTTCACCTTGCTCCATTACAGTTTTCCATTTCCCTGTGATGATGTTCGTTGGTACTTGTAAATGTTCATGCTACTCCTGCTTAATGTCAAGTTAGCTAGGTCTTAAAACTTAATGAAAGCCTACTTCAAGACTTAATTGGGTTTTTATGACTTGCAATCTCAAAGGAAGGAAGAAAGCAAATAAGAGTAAATAGCTTACATCTCTTATTTCAGTTTGACTTTCTGATGCTTACCAATTATTCCTAGGGTAGAAATTCAGGTTGGTTATATAATTGGAGATGGTGTAATTGAGTCAAGTTAAGCCTCAAGGATTCACCGAATTGGGCTGGAGTAGTTTAGAAGTAACTTGATTTGTTTATACTTTTAATTAAAATTTGTCTCATATTATACGTTACGAGTTCTTGAGCTTTGAGGATTCACTGAATCGAGTCGGAGTAGCACATGAGGAATTTGATATGTTTACCCTTTTAATTAAATCTCTCTTATTATACATTATTGGACTAGGAAAAACAGAGAAATTTTTATTAGAAATGGTTTAAAAGGAAAATAACAAAGAAAAAGAGAGAAATTTTCACATTCAAGGAAAAAAAATAGAAATAAATTGGTGCACATTAAAGGAAGAATAAATAATAATAAAAAAACTCACATTTTAGATGTAATATTTGTTTTTCTGTACTTTTTGCTTTTATGATTAGTGTCTCTTCCTTTAGTAGCCATGCACAAGCTTACGATACTTGTTCTTGATCCATCTGTGCCCTTTCTTTAAGGAATCCTTGACCTTCCCTTCAAGGGCATACATCTTATACTTGGTAAGTCTCCTCTTTCTTTTCATCTTTGGTTCATTCCACCATGACTTGATTGACATAGTTGACGACGACTTCTTCTTCTTTTTCTTATCAACCTGATTTTGATCAAAAGATGGTTGTGATCTACCAAAGTAAACTTTGTTCACATATTTTAACATGTTGGTATCAATGATCTCCGTGTTCCGGCCGCCATCTCCACGGGACACCTCATAGGAGGGCCGGAACTCTTCCATCTTTGATTCCCTCCCCTCCTTCCGCTCTCTCTCTTTTCTTCTTTCGAGTTTTTTTTTAGCTAAGATAGAGAGATGAAATGAATGTGAATGCAAGTCCTTTGATTTCGGGAAAGAAAAGTGGAGAAATCACAGGTTGGTTTTTTGGTTGAACAACCGTTTGAAAGCATTGAGACATTAACTAGATCATAACTATTTGAGCTTCAATTTATGTTAATGGTCAAAATTACTTCTAATGTTCCCAAGTCTTTTTACTTTCATAATTAATTTCTTTTAATATCAATTTGTTTGTCATTAATTTGTGAATCATATATTATGGACTACCTATAAGAAAATAAATGATAAATCTAATATAAGATCTAGGATTGGCCATATGACTTACATAAAGACTTTTTTGATGATTAATTTGACAAATAGCACATGCAACAACAATGCAATTGTTATGATTAAATTTAATGTTTTCTTTCAATTAGGAGAAAAGATTATGTGACATAAATTGACATTGACATATCAACCAACAATTAACATAATCATGTGCTTAACAGGCTAATCCCTTTGAACTTCTCTATAATCCAAATGTTTGATAAGATGTTTGATTAGTTACCAAAATTAAGGGTGGGTTTATTGATGATTTGGACTTGATTTGTCGGAGAAATCAGACAAAAGGATAAAAAAAAAAAAAGCTTATGAAAGGAAACTTAACAGGACAAACAAAAGAAACTGGACTTCCATTGCAATGGAATGCTTCAACTTATTAATTAAATTAATTAGTTTCTCATTCAATTTATTAAATAGTTTAAATAGTTAGTAATTTGTTTTCTGCTTTTCCTTACACGACAAAACAATTCCTCCAATGGTAGTGGCACGCCATTTGACTTTTTAATCTTTGAGAAATAAATTTGCAAAGTGCTAAAGGCTAAAAACAAAGGGAAGAACAAGAACGAGAAATATAATTTCTTCAGCTTTGAAAATTCCAGTCATTAATAACCCCGTTCACACTCTCAAGAAAAAATATAAAACTCAATGGCTACACGTTCAAAAAACTTGCAAAAGAGGGATTTAAAATTGAATTGAAATCAATTTTGAAGTGTTTTTATAGCAAGTGGAGCCCAACCAATGGTGAAGTTGCCAAGCCCATGGTAAAACTTCCCCATGTGGCATGGCATTGGTACTAAGTTTTAGAAAACTTTATAAGACCGAGGCAGAAGTGGGATTTTTCTAATTAATTTGTTTCACAAGGGAGAGCCTTGGGTCCTTAAATTTTCAACTAACAGAGTTGAGTTGTGCAGTGTCATGTTATGTCACTTCTCTAGGATTTAATCCTCAAAATCAGACCAGACTTTTCTTGCTCTTTTAAGCTCTCCAGTTGTTTTTTTTAGGATTTTTTTATTTTGACTTTCTCTTTCTTATCTGGTATCAACCAAATCTGTCTCGGTATCTCTGCTAATGTCACTGAAATATATTATTTTCCTGTGATGGATTTTTCTTTTGTCCTTTTTGGGTCCATCTTACTTAAACCAAATTCCATTTTTTTTAATTATTTTGTACATTTGTATTATTGTAGTTGCAGTAACAAGAAAAGAAAACCTTATAATACTTCGAAGAAAGGAAAATGGTGCTTGGAGTTAGTTGTAAAGAGTGTAAGGGGAGACTGATTGGGATTCTTTAAAAGTTTGAAGTTTTTTGTTCAATTTAAAGAATACCCAGTTTGATTTAGCTGTTTTTATGTAGCCCCATTGTGAAAAGGAGGGATCTTGTTACCTGGATCATGGGGATTTCCTCCTTTTGAAGAATTCATGGTGAGTTTTGTTTATACAATGAAGTTATTCTTTGCTCATTTAACATCTTTGTTTTCTTTTTCGGAGGATTGTTTGCATCTCCATTACTTTGTGTTTTTCTTAGATATTGGATTATGGAGATCTGATTCACATATTCATGCTTTTTTTGTCAGAAAACTCTCTTTTCTCTCCTCAATTGCTTGCTTGAAGATGATGCATCGTCTTTGTCTGTAAGTTGAATGAGCAATGTAAGTAGAATCAGGTATGGTTTTTGAAATTAAAGTTTCTTCCTTTTTGTTAGCCGATTGAAAATTTTTGTACATTGTTGACTTAAGATGTGATAATGCTTGTTTTAGATTGACTTCTTGGTCTTGTTTGATAGTTCAACTCTTTTGCTTTTTGGGTTTCAATCTTTGGGTAATGTTGATTTATAGATGAGACAATGGAGGTGGAAGGAAAACGTTCGAAGGGAGTATTTTTTCAGTTGTTTGATTGGAATGGTAAATCTCGGAAGAAATTGTTCTCAAACAATTCTGAGTTATCAGGTACATGTCTGTTCTTCATCTATATGGATATGCATGTATTATTTTTGCATGTTTAGTCGCTTTTTCCTTTATTGTGAATGATGTTTGTAATTCCTGCTTAATTTGTGTTCATTTTGACTGTAGAAGAATCAAAGAGAGGAAGCCCTGTGGAAAATCTAGTGAAGTCACTGCATACGGTGGGAAATTTCCTCCCTTTAATCTTCCTTTGCTTTACTGTTATTCTGGTTCATATTAGTTTCTGACTATATTGTATACTTTTTCTTCATTTCTAGATGGAGGGGGATGATTACAATGCGGCTTCAAGTAATAGACAAAGTGGTGATTTTAATTCTGCTTCCTCTGTGACTAGTGATGAAGGATATGGATCTAGAGCACCTGGAGTTGTTGCCAGGCTTATGGGTTTGGACTCATTGCCAATACTGAATGTCTCTGAGCCCTCATCTTCCCCATATTCAGGGTCTTTCTCTCGTAGAGTATCTCATTATGAAAGAAGTACTCCTAATTTATGGAATGAATATCAACCCACGGACTACAGCAACATGTCTAACAAGCTTGACAGATTGTCTTCAAATCCCATTGAACCAAGGTTTCATAAGGTGCAGAACCGACCAATTGAGAGGTTTCAGACTGAAATATTGCCTCCAAAATCAGCAAAGTCAATTCCAATCACTAACCATAAACTTTTGTCTCCTATCAGGAGTCCAGCATTCATCCCCACCAAAAATGCAGCTTACATAATGGAGGCAGCTGCAAAGATTATTGAGGCTAGTCCTCAGACAACTTCCAAAGGTAAAGTGCCATCATTTGGGTCCTCTTCGGTTCCTTTGAAAATCCAGGATTTGAAAGAGAAAATTGAATCTGCACATAAAGTATCCAGGCCTCAAAGACCTGATGAGCCAAGTGAGAGTGCAGCGAAGCCTTTGAAAGGACAGCATAAGGACAAGAGTCGCAATAAATCTGATTATACACCAACATTCAGGATGACTAGGGATTCAGAAGAAGGTAGTACTTACAGTTTGAGGAATAAGAGGAAATCAATATCACTCGCAGAGCAAGCAAAGGTTAATGTTCAGAGGAAAGAGGGATCATTGTCTAGTGGTAATGGGAGTTCGGCAAATCAGAAGGAAAGGAATGATGCTAAAGGAAAACAGTTTTCTAGGAGCCAGGCAGATGTACAAAGGACTGTGGAGAAACGAACTTCTGCAAACAGGACAAACAATGTGCTGAGGCAGAATAATCAGAAGCAGAATTGCATTTCTGATAGAGATTATTCAACATCAAAGACTTCAATCCTGGACCGGCAAGGTAGAAAGACTAGGTCCATAAATGGTACAATTGGTCTGAATCAGACTATAAGTAAGGTGAGCATAAAGTCTGAACCTCAGTCCAGGAAGACAGGCTCAGTGGCAACTGATACTGCAAAGGAGCTTCCCATCTCTAGAAAGAAGAATATGCCTAGAAAGAAACCACCTGTAAATGAGGATCTTCCGTCTGGAGAAACTGTTTCTGGTAATTCATCAATAAATGGCAGTGAAAGGTCCATAAAATGTAATGTTACAATTGATGGACACTTGAATCAGGATGCAGAGAAAATGAAAACAATCATGGATGTTGTTTCATTTACATTTACATCGCCCGTCACAAGTTCCATGCCTGATGTACCTTCCACAAGTCGAGGTGCGGAAAAGACCAGCAGCCTTGATAGTGATCCTTCTGGTGATGATGGTCTGCTATTTTTGAAAAGCTCAGCATTTTCTTCTCCTGGAATTAATATAATTGGTGGGGATGCTCTGAGTGTTCTCTTGGAAAAAAAGCTTCAGGAATTGACATGTAGAGTTGAGCCGTCCAGCTGCAATATCATTAAAGAGGGGACTTCTTCTAGTTCAACATCCAGTTCGCTAAGTTCAGCGCCCTCATCTGGTAAAGTGACCGCAACATCGGTGGTACATCATGCAAGGCTTCAGGTGGATCTAGATAATGATATCTCATATAGCTCAGGTGACTTTGATCGCTCTTCAATCGACAATCTGGGGCTTGATTGTAGAAGGAAGTGGCAGGTTTGTATTGCTCACACATTGCTACCATTTACTTTATTAGCAGGTCTTGCTTATTTTTTACTTTTCTTGGCATATGTAATCAAGTCCCACACTGCAAAAGGTTTTTCCAAAGTATAGAATCTAGTGCTTGGACTTCAGATCAGCAAAAAATACATAATAGTTGTACTGAATAATTTGTTAGAGATTTTCAATATAAAATATGAGAAATAATCCCACATTGAAAATGAAATGATAAGACAATTATTTAAATTAAGGAGTAAAAGTCCACTTTTGTTGGACTTATGTGGCTAATGGATCATAGGCTTGGTTTTTCAAGCTTGGTTGGTCTTGCATTAATTAAATAATTAATATATATTTATATTTAATTAATGTCACGTGGCACTTAGTACTTTGGCACGTGCAGTAAAGAAAATAGTATTTAATTTAAAGTTTAGTAAATAAAATATTATTTTATTTTAATTTAAAGTTGAATTAATTAAGTCTGTCCAAAAATAGAAAGATAGTTAATTCTGTATAAAAACAGACAGAAACTCTGTTCAAATCAAATAATTATGGTTGTTCAAAAATAAATAGTTTCAAAATAGAGAGTTATGTCTGTAGGATAAAGGGACACTTAATTGTTTATATAGACTTCTTTGATTTTCTGAAAAAGACACAAAACAATTTTCAAACTCTCCCTCTTTTTCATTAAACTTCAGATTTTTTTTTTTTTTTATAAAGTTTTGCTGCAGAAAACCTTGTAGAAGTTCGGTGATCTTGTGATACACCGGTGAATGCTCTGTGGACTAATTTTCTCAGTGCAAAACGTAGTTAGTCATTGAGTTTCATTGAATTCTCGAGGTTTATCGCTTGCAACCCTTTTGTATATTTATTAAGTAAATAATTCGTTGGGGTGAATAAAACTTTAAGAAAAGTGGCACTGATACACGCTTAGGAGCCTTTTCTCAAAATTCCAAAATTTACCAGAAGCAGTAATTTTAGATTTACAGTTTTTGCACTAACATAATTACTGTACATAGAGACTTCAGTTTTACGAGTAAAAAGCAGAACCAACATAGCCATGAATAGTGATCACAAAGAGAAGTTGGTAGCTGATGGAGAACTTTCCCCTTTTATATTCTGTTGTTTCAGTTTCTTCCAAGTTAGAGTCTTTGATTTGTTGAATTGTGGAAATCTGATCTTGTGCCCAAATAACTTGCAATTTCAATTCTACTGCTTTTTTCTGTAATTATAGGGCCTTGGACTAACATCCTTTTATTCTTTTTGATAGTATAGATATTCATCTGATTTGGAAAGTTGATAAGATATATCTAAATTTATTTTTCCCTTAATTGTCTATTACATCTCTAATTTCAATAGAGAAATTGTATTCTTATTTTTCAATCTTACATAAGGATAACATATGACTTTAAATTTATGGAATGATGCCAGCTTTCAGAAGTAATTGAAGAGCAAAATGCTAGCAGCAGCAGCAGCAGGCGAGACTGGCATAGAATTAGATCATCGACATCCTAGCCTGCTTTCAACTCTTGAACCTGCTGTCATGAGTGGGAGCTGCTCAGCTAGCAGATATGGTACCAATGGTAAGCTGTACTCTTCTTATTCTTATTTTCTTCTTTGGAATTCTAAATTTGTTCCACTTGAACCCATTTTATTATGTATTATATTTAGTTAGAAATGATATGAAGTTACTATGAATGTAATTGTCAATTAAATTTCGGGACAATGTCTAGAGATTAATTAACTATTTGTCTGAGAGGCAAAGCAATGGTTACTTGTGGAAAATTGCATAATTTGATTAATTTCAGAATCATTTGTTTTAGTTTATGAATTTTGCATGATACTCAAATTTTTGCATAGATTTTCATAATGGGTAAACTCAGTAACCATGTTATTGCAGTGACTACTGTATAAGCTAAAACCTGATTTAATGAGATAAAGGAATTTTTTTTTATCACTCCTTTGGCCAACATGTATACTCTACACTTGCAGGCATCAAGCAATTCTTGTTGGCTCAAGATCAAGAATTGTTAAGTTGGACTCCTGGTAGCGAGTCTCTGACTGAATTTGGTATGGAGTTACCCGACTCAGCATCGTCTAAACCTGTGGGAGAAATGGGCAAAAAGCTTCTAACGAGGACATCAAGTTCAAGAGATTTTAAAGATTCAACTACCTGGGAACTTGATTATATGAAAATGGTGCTAAAAGATTCTGAGCTAAAGTTCATAGAATATGTTTTGGGTCAGACCGAAAATGTTATGACCCTGAATGCTATCAATCAACTTGATCATCAGAACGGAACAGAGAGAAACGGAGAAGATTACAACAAGCTTGAACAAAAGCTTTTGCTTGCTTGTGTGAATGAATGCCTGGAGTTGAAGTGTAGCCAAGTTTTGGTTGGAACCTGCAAAGGATGGGTTAAGTGGGGAGAATTGCTCCAAAAAAAAGGGTGGTTGGCAGCAGAGGTGTATAAAGAGATCTTGGGTTGGAAAAGCAAGGGGGATACAATGGTGGATGATCTTGTAGACAAGGACATGAGCACAAAGTATGGGAGATGGCTTGATTTTGACCTGGAAGCATTTGAAGAGGGTGTAGAGATTGAAAAAAGTATATTTACTTCTTTAGTTGATGAATTAGTTTTTGATTTATGGCTTTAAGGCTCTTTCAAGATAGCCCTTGTTTTTGGGGGTTCCCATTGGTAAAATTTTCACCTGATGGATCTTCTATTATCCTCTTTGTTCAAAAACAAGATATCTAAAAATCTTGATGGCTGCCCCAATGAAAGAACAAAACGAAATCATTTTTTTCTTTTAATATTTGAACTTATCATAGATTGAATTTTTTTTTTTTAATTAATAACGAAATGAAATAAAGGCGGCATGCGAATAAAATCTGCAGTGCATAGATGAAATATGATCCTTAATTTATGAACTATGAGCAATACTAAGTTAATCACATTGAATTTGTACATAGTAGAGGGACATATAAATTGTAGTATTCTTTTATTCTTGAGTTGCGATTGGCTAATGAGTTCCCTATATCGGCTGTAGCCGTCCAAGAAACCATGACCTTAAACTACAACATTCATAATCCTCATCTCATTGTATGAACTCAAACAAAGTCTAAAGTAGAAGCTTTTGTCTTCGGTTTGAGACCAAAACATGATACTACGAAGAACATAGCACATGGTTTTGTCTTTTGCAGTTTCCCAAAAACAAACTATCCAATCAAAATCTTGGAAGTATGGGCTAACTGATCCATAACAATTTAATAAAGATCTGGAAAAAAAAACCCTTAATCATATACTAATAAACCACTAAGAGAAGCACATGTTAAGCCCTGATTGGTTTCTCCTCTGGCTAGCTTGGCTACCAATATTCTTCTTTCTTGGATACAGGGAAAAACTGAAAAAGTGACTTGAGTTTCTGAGATGTTTACAGATTAGCATGTAGAAATCTTAATTTTTCTGACCCTTAATTAAATCATATACTACTAATAATAATATTAAATCAACAGTTTATTCTAACAGTGATTCATTATTATTAATCAGAAGGAAGGCTGGTATAGATGCAGTCCCTCAGCCTTGGAGCAGCTGCCCCAGAATTAGGATCGTATGAAGGAGAAGCTATAGTTTTATTCTTCCATGGCGTACCTGTGCCTTAAAAATATTGTCCCTTCATCGAAAAATGCCTTGTATTTTGATGCTAAATGGCTTATTGTCGGTTGCTTTTGAGACTACTATATTTGGTACTAGAAAAAAATTTTGATGAATAACATTTTTTATATTTTAAAAAAATACCTTATGAGTTGTGGCTAAAAGATAGAAATTATACTCAAAATTAAAAAAAAAAAAAAGGAAAATTTCAACATCCAGTTTCTTACAAAAAAAAAAAAAAAATCCTTTTGAAAGACTTTTTGTCTAAGATTTCACACTTTTATTTTGTAGAAAGAATATCAATAACATGTGAAGCAATAACTTGTGAGATAGAGGTGAGTCAAAATCGGTTTAAATCGATTTAATTAATTGAAATTGATGAAAAATAATTAATTTGTTTTGATTTATTTTGAATCAATTAAATTGATTAGATCGATCAGTTTTCAATTTTTAAAATTAAAAATTAAATTAACTAAATTAATTGATTTTTTATTAAGTAAGAGTAAAAAAGTTAAGATAAATATTTTTATTTGTCTTTTTTTGTAAAATGTTGTTGAAATTATCAAATTCTTTAATAATTTACTTTGAATGATATTTAAATTTGAGTTTTATTTGATTGAATTTGTAATTAAATAATTATTCATAATAAAAAAAATTTGATTATTTAATTAAATTGGTTTTGATTGGTCAGTTTGGTTATATTCAATTATTTAAAAATTTTTATTAATTAAATTAATTATTAAATAAAAATTAATTAATTTAATTATTAATTTTTTAAAATTAAATTAATCAAACCAACCAATTACTCACACGGTCATAGGAAAGTTTTATAGACTTTTAACTTAACAATGCACGAATTTCTGGGTTTTTTTTTCCTTATATTTTTATAATTTTATTTTATTTTTGTCACCGTTGGCTCCTTTCCTATTTCCCACATGGATCCCAACTTTTCTCTCAATGCTAACCCTTTTTAATGCTTTTCATATAGCACCAAGTTTTTTATGCTACAAGGTGAGAAATTCAGCTTCCATTCACCCTCATAAGCAGGGTAATATTAATTGAGTTGGCAGCCATTGAGTTTTGAATTTTAAAATTTTTTGAAGGAGATGTTGAATGTTGAATTTTAAAAATTGAAATTTGTGACATTGAATTTATGCCTCCAATGTCACTTCAAACATACTTCCTTATTAAATGTTACATCCATGGTTGTGCATTAGCAAGTTTGAGCTCAAAATTCCTTGTTATAGCATGTTATTAAACAACTTGATATTATTGGACTATAACCAAAGATTGATATATAGGTATTAGGTTACATCTTGAAGAATGTAGAAATGGAAAATGACCCAATTATTTATTTTTTTAAATGAGAAATGTTTCAATAATCAACAATATTATTATTTAATATTACAATATTTACACGTATTTATAGTTTGAATTACTAAAATTTATTGTTTACATAACTATTTTTCAAATTATAGTGGGACATGAAAAATAACATAGGAGTTAAAACGTTAAAAACGAAAGAATTGTCATCTTTTTTAAGTAAAGAATAATTAAAGATATAAATGATATATTAATAAAACTCAAATTCGGTTTAGTTGTTATCAAGTCGAATTTAAGTTCGAATAATTCGACTTATCGATCGAGCTAAATTCGAGTATTCTTATATCAAACTTAAATAGCTTGTGAGTTTAATTAAATTTTTATATTTTAATATATTTTAGTTATTTTAATTAATAAAATATTTCAAACTTGAGTTCAAATATAAATAATATAGTTTTTGTCAAACATAAGAATTGAATTTACTTTTATATGTTAATCGAATCCAATCGAACGTGTTCAAATAATTCAATTTTTATATTGAATCGAGTTCAAATTAAAATAATAAAACTCGATCGCGTTCGAATCGAATTTAAAATTTAAAATTTGAAATTGAGCTCGAACACAAATTTAACATTATATTGACTCAAATTCAATTGATTACATATCTAATGGCAATGATAAGAATTTGATTTTGGCAACATCATCAATCAAATTAGATAATCAAATTGACAAGCATCATTCATTAGAAGTTTCACTCAGATTGACTAATTAGATTAGATGGGATTTAGACTTATATTGTAACTAATATTTTTTAATACATAAGATTATTATTGAATTATAATTTATGAAATTAAAATTTTAATAATATATCAATAAATTATTCAATTGTTGACATAATTTAATTAATCATGAAAAGGGCTTCATATCACTTATGTATAGCCCAAATTGACATTTTTGGTACTTGCAATCATAAAGCACCCCTACTGCATAAACCACATTGATGAACAAATCTGAAACACATCCACTTTCTCAGTTCTATCTTGTTGTTATTTATACGTTCCCAACAAAAACTCTTTCACAATCTTCCTCACTTCTTCACCAATCACAGGAAAAGTCTACTAAAAAAATGGAGTTCCAAACCCCAAACGACAATGAATCAAACCGAATCTCAAACTTGGAAACAGAACTTGAAATTACCCCAAATGGCCAAACTCTAAATCCACATGCGCCCCAAGTTTTCCCTGAAGACTATGACAGCGCCTGCTCCACACCCTATGTCAGTGCTCCTTCAAGCCCTGGACGGGCGCCAGGACCAGGCCCTGGATCCATCAATGGTGGGTTCTTTTATAGTGCACCAGCTAGCCCTATGCATTTTGCAATGACATCTGTTGCTTCAATGGTGTCATCAACCCAACCATCTTCTCCTGATAACTCAGTGCCTCTTGGTTTTGAGTTTGAATTCTCTGCGAGATTTGGGTCTTCAGGGTCAGGTCAAACAGGATCTATGAGCTCAGCTGATGAACTTTTCTTGAATGGACAGATCAGACCTATGAAGCTATCCACCCATTTAGAAAGGCCTCAGATTTTGGCTCCTTTGCTGGATCTTCAAAATGAAGATGAAGAAAATGAAGATCCTGATAACAAAGTAAGAGGCAGAGATCTGAGGCTGAGGGATAAGTCTTTAAGGAGAAGAACAAGATCCATGTCCCCTTTTAGAAGTGCTACTTTTGCTCTCAATCTGGATGACCAAAGCATGTGCTTAGATAAAGGTTTGGGCAAGAAAGCTGACAGCAAGAACGATGATGAAGAGATGTATAATGAAACAAGTGCTTCAATGTCAGCTTCTTCTTCCAGGTCTTCTTCAGCTGGAAGAAGCTCAAAGAGATGGGTTTTCTTGAAAGATTTTCTAAGGAGCAAAAGTGAAGGAAGAAGCAACAATAAGTTCTGGTCAACTATTTCTTTCTCTCCAGCAAAAGAAAAGAAACCTGGGAGCAAAACCAGTGCTGTGGTTCAGGAGTCTAAAGATAAGCTAAGCAATGTGTCAAGTGGGGGATCAGAGAATCAAAGAAGCAGTAAGAACAAGCCAGTGAATGGGATAGGCAAGAGGAGGGTTCCACCATCACCACATGAGTTGCATTACACAGCTAATAGAGCACAAGCTGAAGAAATGAGGAAGAAGACTTTTTTGCCTTACAGACAAGGCTTGCTTGGTTGCTTGGGATTTAGTTCCAAAGGTTATGGTGCCATGAATGGCTTAGCTAGAGCTCTGAATCCTGTTAATTAAGGGTTTGAAAGAAATTGTATAGAATTTTTTTAACCTTAGCTTTTCACTAAGAATTTCAATGATCATAAATGTATTTTACAGTTTGATCTTCGCTTTTATTTTAAAAGAGAAGCTCTCTTTAGAAATTATGAGAGGTCTTGTATAACATGTAAAACAATATGCAATATTTTCCATGTATTTTGCAGTGATGGTGTAATGACACAATCTAATATCTATTTCCCGTATATGTTGCTCTCTCTCTCAAAGCTTTATCTATGAGAACATTCCTCCACTCCTTGGTAAGAAACTTTTCTACTTTTATAATTTGTTCATTAATCTAAATTGATCATAAAATATAATGAACTTATTAAAACAATGGGTATATTCTGCCAATGTTGAAAAATCAATAATTAGAACAGTACTTGCCATTATTGATGCATTTGTAAGATTTTCAAGCGAGTTTATAAAGGTTTTCAGGTTCTTATTGAGATAACACTGTTTCCTGTTAGATTATTGAAGCAATAATATTACACACTTGGTTCAGTTCAGGCCAGGGATCTGAAGTCTCAACTTCCCTGTTTACAAATTGGTGGCAGATGCCCAATGGTTTAACCCACGTTAGCATTAGCACATGAGGATGGCCCCCCATATGTCCTGACCTACCAATCGAAATGAAAACTCTGGAAGTTTTTGTTTGTTTCTTCTTGGTTAAACCGTGTGATGCTCATGCACATGATGCTTTGCACATTGCATGAGATACGGGTTTGTTGGGAAAGATACGAATTCACATCAAACATTGCTCCTATGTTTACTTGTTTGCCTCAAGAAAATTAAAACTACTTTTTTTTTTCATGATTTTTTGTACTATTGGAGTTTTAATTTATTAGTAAGGGATATATTAAGAAAAATAAAAAATAATACAATAAATATATATTTATCAATCTTTTGATTCTGTCTGTAAACAGCTTGTGAATTTTAAAAATTGTATCAAATTTGTATAAAAAATGAGCTCAATTAATCATGTCTTGCAAGTTAAGAACACTAGCTTAAAAGTAAACGAAAATATATGGTTAGAAAGCTTTCAATGGGGCTTGTTGTCTGCAGATGTTGACATAAAAGGTGATCATGAGACATGGACATAAAGGAGTTTGAGATTATGGGATATTGACTTGATTTTGATGGTGTTTCCAACTCCAAACGATTGATTAATCGCTTTTTGGCTTCTTCTATCTGGGTTTTTCCTTCTTTCTTGTGATCATCATGTCAAATTGAAAACTCCAAAGAAAAAAAAAAAAATACATGAACAAGCTTTTTCTGCCTTTCCCAATATCCACCATTATGTCCCTCATCATTGTTCATATAATTGGTTTGGAGATAAGCTTGGTTGTTAACTGGTGATTTAAGACCACAACCCAACTTATTGTTGAAACAGAAGGAAAAGAAATCAAAACTATTAGGTAAGGAAATGTCATCATGAGAAGACATATCAGGTCCCAACTCCAGCAATCTGTGGGGGCATTTGAATTGTAGCCTGGAAGAGCAAATAGTAGCAAAATCGCATCAACCAAGGTCCCCCGTGGAGGCTCCAGCTACATTATTGCGGATGCCTGGATGGGCTTTTCATACAGTTTCCGAGTTATCCCAAGAATCATTTTGATGACAAGAGTTATGGGTTTGTACAAGAATTCCAAAATGTTTTTTTCTTTTTTGCTTCTCCTCCTGAATTCTATGGCTCCATCCCTAACTCTAAGTCACATTTACAAATTACAATTTCCTGTTTTCGAACAATACCTAAAGAACTGAGCTCTGGAGAAAACTAAGTGGATGATATTTTAAGTTAAAATGGGAAAAAGAAAATTCCTTGGCAAGAAAATAGCCCCTAGGGGAGACTGAAAAGTCACAGCTTATCCCAATACAAAGTGGCTATGGAGGAGCACCCATTTGTCTGTTTCCTGCAACAGAATAATAATAGTTCACATGAATTACCATCACTGGGTGGCCTAGGAGCCAGTGGCCACGGACGTGGGCCAAAAACATCACAGCCTTTTGCTCCCCAATGACTTTTTCACCCGCCGAACTCATTCCTATGCAGCTTCATTACTTCTTCTGACAACCTTCATTCAAGCCCATCAGACTTCCCGGATGACTCGGTCTTCTGTCTCTCTTATCTAATGCTCCTTGAATCCTGGCTCTAAGCTTCACAGCACACAAATGACCGGTTACTAATGGAGTATTTTCCCATAATGGAACATCACTAATCAAATCCAAAATATTGCTATTATCAACAGGAGTCCAGCCGGTTGAGCCTCAGCTAGGGAGTGTATGAATTGGCTTATTCATCAAACAAGACTTTAATCTTATGGTTTCTAAGGGAAAAAGCATTACATCATGGCTAAAGTAGTAAAGTGAACCTGTGGATAGATGAAAATGCTCTACTTTCTTATATGATTATGTAAATTTAGGTGCCAAATGTGAGTATAGTAGTACACCAAAACTACGACCAGGGACGAATCTACAATGGGAGCAATACAGGCAGTTACCTCCACTGAGATCCTAATATCAAATAAAAATTATTACAAAAATTGATAAAAAATTTAATTTTTTTATAGTTTGCCCCCACTAAAAATTATATATATATATATATATGACATTTTTATAAATGTTTGAAAGAACAAAATTAAAATTGTAATATAAATTACTTATTTTACAAAAATAATAGGGTCACATATATAAATATAAATAAAATAAATATTTATAAATAATTTTTTATTCAAAGACCATCATTTCATTTAAAAAACAATAAAAGTCAAATAAAAAATAATCTTCTTTGTACTCTACTTATAATTTTTTTCTTCGTCCAAATCTATAAAATTTATAGTAGATAGAGAATAGAAGTAGAAAAATAACAAGATAAAAAAAAGCCAATAAATCAAAGAAACAAATTAAGGAGTGGACATTTTTTTTTCTTCCATCAATATATTTAAGTAAGTAATTACTTTTTCTTTTTGGATTTTTTCTTTGTTTTTATTATAATTTGTTTATGTGATGGAATATTTGTTTACTATTTAATTTTTTTATATTGGTAAAATAATTTGATTTGGGGCTTAATTTATGATTTATATTATAAGTGGATTAAGATCGAAGAATGTTGTACTTTCTTAAGTTGATCAATGAATTAATTTAATTTTTATGAAATTATATATATATAAAATTATATTCTTTAATTAAAATTCAAAATACATAATAAATATGCATGTTGATTTTGTTTGCATAATTACATTTCAATATTTAATATAAACTACAACATTAACTTCTTATTTTTTAGAAATTATATAAACTAAATTATCTAATTTAATTAATTGAGGAGAAATATCTTATTGAGAGAAAGTCAATTTTAAAGGAATTATTCAAAATCAATAATAGGGAAACACAACATTTGACAAAATAAGTTTATGTTTAATTAGATTTAAATGATTTTTATTGGATCCAAAGTTATGAAAAAAAATTTTATACTATCATCCTAATTAAAAAGATAATATTTTAAAAATTTATTTTCATACTAAAAAACCCATAAAAATAATTATAATGTATTATCTTTGTGTATAAATAAAATAATTTTTTATACATTTGAATTAATTTTTATTTTTATATTTAATATTATTTATATTAATTTTTTCTTCTATACATAAATCCTGAATTACAACGTCGGAAAATTGAGGAGACCAGTGCCCAAGAAAAAGGATACAGTTCCTGACAGATTCGACTGAAACAGATTGAGCAAAGATATAGAGGGCATTCTTCTTAAGAGTGAATTCATCATTTCATCTGCCTTAACTTGGTTAATTGACTGCATCCAGAAGAACATAAAAATTAAGAAATGTAGTGAGGTTAAGTCCATCTTGGAAGTGATACTGTTAAGGAACTGGAACCGAATATTTCAATTCTGACAATCAATATCAAGATAATAAATACAGTAGTTAGCAGAAAACTGTTAATAATTCATACTCTGCTACATTGTAAAAGAGCATCTTCATCCAGACATTTTCATGACTTCAGATGATACATCTTAGTTTCAAGTGGTAGGCTAAACGCCCCAATCAATCAATATCTGAGCAAGTAAAAGTGTATGATTAAACAATAAATCATCTATACAGGAAATAATTATTAACTTGTTCAACACTTAACATGTTTATGTCTATTGGTGAAAGATAAAACCCACTAATAATAAAAAATTACAAACATATCAATAATTAACACTCAACCTAATTAAAACATATATAATTCAAATATAATTTTTTTATATTTGTAAGTTCATTAACTTGCTCACTAATCATCACTTTTCAATTAAAATTTTAGTCTTTCAAAATTTTTTACCCATTAAAAATTTAACCAATGTTGAAAATATTTAAAACAAATCTTCTGTTAAATCTTTTGAGATTTAAGTAATATTTTCAACATCAAATCAATTGATTGCCCAAAAGAAAAAAAATTGTTCATGTATGTTCTTCTAGAATTGGGTCCTTCCAGTTGTCACTCTTCTTTTCCTTAAACCAGGACATGATGACTTGCAAATTACAATATGTAGACTGAAAATTTTCTGGCTATGATAGCTTTAAAATGATAATGATAAATGTAAAATGTAAATAAATGAGGTAAGGGTTAAAAAAACCCTCAAACAAAAATTTTATAATTATTTAAATTTATGATATTTTATTGTAATTAATTAATATTTGAAATTAATTAAAATTTTAAATATTTATTTTATTATAATAAATTAAACACTAAATTTTTTATTTTAAATCAATTGAATCTTTAAATATTTATTTTTATTAAATTAAATTTTTAAATATCTATTTTTATTCAATTAATCTCTCGATTGAACAAAAATAATTAATTATTTTTTTTCTAACAAGGATTTGATTGATGAAAATAAATGTTTAAAAAATTAATTAATTTAAAAAACCATAGGAGCTTGAATAATTATTAAATTTTTGTTCAAAAACTTAGCTATTTTCCTTTAAATAAGCTAAAACAAAATATTAGCTTTTAAAATATAGTTACTTCCACTTCCCGCCAAACCCAACCTAACCACTTGAAATTTCGGTGAACTATGACGATACAGGAATAGAACAGTATGAGCAGGGCTTGCCTTCAGCTAGAGCGAAAGATCCTCCGCCTCCTCCATGGCCAGAAAACCCGAAAAAACCTCCGCGAAATTCATGCTCATTTCATCCGTCAATGCCTTCACCGATCCAACCAAATCCTTGCCCACTTTGTCTCTGTTTGCGGTCACCTTAACAAAATGGACTATGCAAATCTTGTGTTTTTGCAGACCCACAATCCCAATATTTTGCTTTTTAACTCTATGGTCAAAGGGTATTCTCTCAACGGTCCCTTCGAAGAAGCTGTTACGTTGTTTTCTTTGATGAAAAGTCAAGGGATTTGGCCTGATGAATACACGTTTTCGCCTTTGCTTAAGGCGTGTTCGGGTGTTGGTGATGTAAAAATTGGAGAATGCATTCATGGGGAAGTTATTAAATCTGGGTTTGAGCGTTTTGGCTCGGTTCAGATTGGGATTGTGGAATTATACAGTTCTATTGGGAGAATGGACGAAGCAAAGACGCTGTTTGATGGAATGTCTAAGAGGGATGTGATTGTTTGGAATTTGATGATTCGTGGCTTTTGTAAGAGAGGGGATGTTGATATGGGGTTAAATTTATTTAGGCAGATGATTGAAAGGAGTGTAGTTTCTTGGAATTTGATGATTTCTTGCTTGGCACAAGGTGGAAGGCATAGTGAAGCTTTGGCACTTTTTCATGAAATGAGGGAACTGGGGTTCCCACCTGATGAGGCTACTGTGGTTATTGCGTTGCCTATTTGTGCTCATTTAGGGGCTATTGATGTTGGTCAATGGATTCACTCTTACGCTGAATCAAGTAGGCTTTATCAAAATGTGGTTTCTGTGGGAAATGCATTGGTGGATTTTTATAGTAAATGTGGAAATTTGGAAACTGCCCTTCAGGTTTTTAAAGATATGCCTTGTAAAAATGTTGTGTCATGGAATGCAATGATTTCTGGTCTGGCTTTTAATGGGAGAGGGGAACTTGGTGTTGAGTTGTTTGAGGAGATGATCAACAACGGTGAGAGGCCTAATAATGCGACTTTTATAGGGGTGCTAACATGCTGTGCACATGCAGGATTGATCGAAAAAGGGCAAGAGTTGTTTGCTTCAATGAGCGAAAAATACCATATTGATCCTAAACTTGAGCATTATGGATGCATGGTTGATCTCCTTGCACGCAATGGATGTGTGAGAATGGCTTATGACTTGATTAGAAGCATGGATATTATGCCCAGTGCCACTTTATGGGGTGCCTTGCTTAGTGCTTGCCGTACTTATGGTGAATTAGAGCTAGCAGAACTTGCTGTTAAAGAGCTTATCAATCTTGAACCATGGAATTCAGGTAATTATGTATTGTTGTCAAATATTTATGCAGAAGAAGGGAGATGGGATGAAGTAGAGAAGATAAGGGTATTGATGAGGGAAAAGAGTGTCAAGAAAGCAATGGGACAAAGCGCAACAGGGTGATTATATACCATCTTTTTAGTATATTGTTTTGATAATTATAATTTCCATTTTTTTCAGCAATGATGGCTAAAGAACCTACCTAATAAATTTGGAGATTTCTTTTTTTTCTTATTTTGGAAATAAATTAGCTGGTTCACTTTATGTCAAATACATGGATATCAATCCATACCGATTATATCTCTAACAGAAGAGTATTTATCCAATGAGAATTATGTACAATTCGTTTTTGATGAAAAATATGTATAATGTTAGGTTTTTACTTTAAAAAACCTAAAATATAAAATTTTACTTTGAGTGTAATTTATATATTGCAAGGCCATTCATAGGAATGGCCTAGCTTCATACACCCTATTGCCTTTCACAGCATAGAAACAAAGAACCAAAGAATGGAGATCGTGGTGGGCAAAGAAGAGGACAGGTTATGGTACGCCACGAATGCGTGAGAATGGCTTATGACTTTGGCTTAGAATCATTCTATAAAAATGCTTGTATGTTCTTGATCAGTATGTTTGGAGCAGGTGCTGTTGCTGTACAAAAGCATCCGTACATTAATTCCTCACTGAGAACAAATCTTATGCTCTCCTAGTTTTGTTTGGTTAAATATAGAAGGCCAAATTTCACCATGATAGTGAAAATCTCTTGATTTGCACCCTGTTTTACATTTTAAAAAAAATGCTATTTATCATTCATATTTGCTATATGTTGATATTGCATATCCTTCATTTATTGTTGACTTGTGTAGAATCGCGTTTGCTATAAACATTCCTTTTCTTTTCCCTTAAGTAATTCTGATGATCAGCCACATAGCCATGCCTAATGAGACCCTTAAGGCCAATGGAATATGTGTGACTCAGGAATTCATAAATGCGGTCTCAATTCAATTTAAGAAAGTAATTAAACCAGGTTTCAATTCAATTCAATTCAATTAGTTGGACCAATCCTAATCCAATAGAGGGTAGCTGATGAATCCTCTTTGGATTAATTCCTACTCTTGGAAATGATTTGCAAGGTACATTGCACTCATTTGAATTAATGGGACACGAACTTTGAGGAATTTTTATTTCATTTACAAATTAAGATTCTGAAACGATTGAGTAGGAATTTTACTAGTCTCTTCTGTTTCTATAAATTATTAATCATCCAAACTCCACTCCATCCAAAGCTTGTAACATTCCAATATCCGAAGCTAGCAGTCAAAGAAAGAGCAAAGATGGAACCGAAGAGTTGCTGCTCAAGTAGCTATGTCTGCACTCCAAAGAAGGAAACGGTGGTGGTGACTCCAAAGAAGGAAGAAGATGTCAAACCAGAAATCCCTAAGGGAAATGTTCAGGCTGTCCCTTCTGCTGCTGCGGTTGCTATGGTGAAAACTCCAAAGACTGAAGAGAAAGAGGCTGTGAAGGAAACTCCAAAGACTGAAGAGAAAGAGGCTGTGAAAACTAAATTTAGTTCTGGTGGGTGTAGCTAGTCAAAATTGAGTCTTGAAAGTGGATTTTGAGGGGGGCTTATAGTTAATTATGGTAAATAGTTTAGTTTCGAGTGTTTGTTATGGTGTGTTTAGAAGTTAAATTTAAAGTTAATTAAGGGTCTATTATTGTTTTCAACTAGCTTCTCATTTCTTGTTGAGAAGTTGCTTGTCAGGTTCTGTAATCCCCCTCAAATAATAAATGGCTATTATGTTTTAATCCCTCTCTGTCTCTGGCAATTTGATGCCACAAAAAAAAAAAAAGTCAGTTTTATTGTCCAAAAGTACCGACAATTTCTTAGCAACTTCTTTTTTTCCAGCAAAATTTGAGGTTAAGATATCTGAAATTGATTCTGCTAATGTTGTGATTTCAATAACACGTAATATCTTTCAAACAGTTGAAAGTCATGCATAAATATTGTAATTGAAACTGGAAGTGCTGGAACATATTGATAAAACAGTTTAATTGCCAAAATCTATAGCCTTTTAAAGATGCAAGAACAGCAAAAGAAAGAAGAAATGATGTATGTTGGAATTAATGTTATAATAATCAAATCATCACTTATTTTTATTTTATCAAAGTCTAGCTACTTGGTAGATGCAATTACAGACTACAGTCCACAAAAACGCATGTCACTTGTGTGCCGTAATCTGCTATGATTGACAGGAAATGAGCAATCATTTCACACGCATGTCATAATATCATCTGTATAAAAACATCACTACCCCCTCATTCTCCAAGACTAATTATAAACTCCATGAAGGTCTTCCCATATTCTCTCATTAACTTTCCCATATATATATATTATTATTATTTTTTATTCTATAGCTAGTTATCCTGATTTTGATGTCACGGGTTGTTGAATTCAAGGTAAGTTTACACTGCAAAGCTTCTGAGAAACTGTCCGCATATCCTTGCTCAAGATCAATGGTAAATCTCTAGCAACTGAAGATCCAATTAACAAATAAAAAATGCAAATATGCTTCAAAAAAATTAGAAAAAGACTAACATTTTCGCCTGTAAAATGCATGGAAATAGACATGGTATCAAGTAAGATTACAGTGTTAGGATATGTTGATCGCAAAGCTGTGGTGAAGGCTATTCATAAGAAAGGGAGAAGAGCTGAGGCATGGTCATCGATATCAGCATCATGTCATAGGGAGGACTACTTTAGTCGCAGACTTCCTAAAGGGTTCAGATGCATTATTCCTCGATGGGGTTTCCAAAAGCTTGAAGAGTAATGTAATAATGCTCTATTTGAAGCAGTAAGCAAAGAAAGGCAGCACTTGGGATCACCAAAAGAAAATATAAAATTGAGTCATAGCTTTTCGTGAAGATGAGAAATATCATCGGATCCTTTTGCTGGTGTTTCTGTTATTTACAAATTATTGGTTTCTTGCAACCTATTATTGGCATTTAGTTAAACATATTGAAGTAACCATGCTTGCCAAAATCATGAATCTACTTTATGGTTTATATAACTTCAAACACAACAGGCACCATTCTGTTCTGTCAAGGTAAAATTGAAAGATGTATTCGAACACTATGTATCAGAAAGCAAACATGTTTCTTCTACGCCAATTTGCCATAGAGCAACTATAATATCAAAACATAAAACCCAATAATTAATGTTAATGCAGACAAGCTGATCATGAAGTTGCACAATGCTCTTGCCTCGCTTATTTCACCTTGGAAATAATCCCCCACATCAAAATTCCCTGACAAAAGGTTAAAAGATTAGAGATTAAAATAAAAAAGGGTTAGACAAATGAAGGAATATAAAGCATAGGTACCAAATGAAAGATTTCTGTACCTCTTCTGCTTGTGTAGCTGCAACCGGCACGGAGTACCTCTCTGATGTCCCGAATGGTGGCCTTGTTATAAAAGGTGAAGTCTGATAAAATGTTGTCAACACATTTGAGTACCAACTGTGTCTCAGCTAAGCAGGGTCCAGTGCAGAAGATGTCAGTTGCTTCACGAGGTACATTCAGGTTGCCACTCTCATTCAATCTATAAGCCTCATTGCAACGTGTGTAAATCTGTACATCCATAAAAATACTACCAATGAAAAGGATTTTCAAAAGAAAATTACAATGAATAAAAGTGCATCAGATATTAAACTTACAAATTTGTTGTTGAAACAAAAGAAAGCTTTTGCAAGGGATTGCGCGGGAAAACTCTGTGCGTTCCCTGTTTGATCATGTCAAAAAGAAGTGAGGATTAAATAATTGTAAAGGAACAAGGAAAATGATCAGGGTGATTAGAGGATAACAAAAGCACCTGTGTTTACGTTGCAGCAGAATATGGCAACGAAAATTAAGTTGAAGCAGGTGAAACACTTGAGCTTTGATGAAGTAGCGGCTGCCATTGCGCTAACTGAGACTAAATAACTAGGTAAATTAAGAGGATGGTTTTATTTGATACTATAGGGATTGACAATTAAACGGCAAAAAGAAAACCAAAGATTAGACCACCTGGATTTGAATAACAAGTTGGTTGGTAACTTGCCAAGGGTGTTTAGGAGAAAAAGCTAAGACAAAAATGGATTAACAAGAACAGTAAGTAGGTGAAACAAGTCACCTAACTCTGTACTTTCGTTTGCAACATTTGGCCTTCGGCAGTTGAGATTGAAAGCTGGGAATTGAAGTTGGTCATTTGTGTCAAGTACACAGCTTCAAATATTCAATCCAAAAATATGGCATCTCTTATATGTTGAGTGAGCGTTATAAACTTGAACAGGTTGAGAAAGTCTTGTGAGAAAAGGAACCAGTCATTGGATAGCAGAAAATGGAGATGCGGGGTATCGATCCCCGTACCTCTCGCATGCTAAGCGAGCGCTCTACCATCTGAGCTACATCCCCATTTATAGAGGAAAATAATAAGATGAATTTTAATGGTAGTAATGTGACTTCGGGAGCATAAGATAACAAATGATCTAAGATATCTGTTGGAAAACATCAGGTTGAAGTAATCTTCACTAGCTTGGATGTGTAATAAGGTTTGTTCAATATTTGCAAAGTTGACATTTGCAGCAACAATAAATCCAGGTTTTACTAAAGACGTTGCCTTCTAGAATACAACCATCCAGCTTTAGAAGAATAAAAACTTAGCAAGTTTCAATATACAATCCTGCCTAGGCAAGATACTTCCGTCCTATATATAAACCGGAGATAATATATAGTATATTAGTATGATATCAGCATCAATGGGCAATGAGGAGATGACTAAATCAAATGTATCATCCTCTAAATTGACATTGGGCCCAAATCATCATTCATAATAAATCATCAATTACTTGTATGTCTCACTGTCTCGTAGAAGGGAGCATCATTACCAATTCAAACAAAAATGGAAGAAAAAGAGAAACGGTTAGGAGAAGAGGGGAAAGGTGGGTAACAATGATTTCTGAAAGTGTTCCATCCAATTAAATTCAGTATAAAAATAACATATAGAAAGAAAACATATCTAAATTTCATGTAGCTACCTACTTAATGTACTGAGAAAGCCACTTGAAACCATCTCCATAACCCATTTTACGAACAATGCTACACATGAATACCTCAAGGGGACGAACATTTGAGTCTCCCAAGTTGACCTTACCCTTGCCTGTGGTGAAATTGGTCAGACCAAGGTGATAACGCAACTCATCTTCCGACGCAGCATATGGTATATCAATCTTGTTGCCCAAGATGAGGAATGGAACATTAGCCAAGGCTTCATCAGAGAGGAGAGCATCCAACTCCTTTTTTGACTCAGCAAATCTTTCCTTGTCATAAGCATCCACCAGGTAAACAACTGCATCCACCTACAAACAAATTGTATATTAGTTTAGATATGCTCTGGAAAAAAAGAAAAAGTGAAACACTCTGGTAATCATGCTCTCCTTCATATCATGGTAATACTAGAGCCTCCAAAAACTTGCAGGATTCTATTGTGAATGAGTTCAAACGAAAACAAGCCAAGGGAAGAAGATCCAGAGTGCGTATATATTACTGAAGACTGAAGCAAAGAGGGAATTCTGCTTCTTCTTTTTTTACAATATTCCTACACTGTAATCTTGATAATGTTACTCCAGTAACGGAGAGTACAAATATATAATGTGTGGTGATGTACTGTCAAAACACCTTTTTCAAAATTAAAGGTGCTATCAGCGAACTCCCAATCCCTATTCTTTGCCCCTTATGAATCAGATAATCACAAGAATCATTATCTGGGATTATAGAGGTACATTCAAAAAAGACTACAACAAGACACTCTTGCAATCATATAGATCCTCAGGTGGAATAGCAAAGAAGAAAAGTAACCTACCGGATGCATATAACCACTAAATATTCAAATCCCAATTCATGCAACAAACTTTACCATATTTAATCATACTTGAACAATGGCTAATGTGCTTTAGAATTTATCACCTAATGTTCAATTCGAAAAGAGCTACATTTACAAATAATGAAATCTGTTCTCCACATCATGAATAAATACTTCTAACAAAATCAAATAGCATCAAATAGCAACTTAAAACTGCAAGAGAAGTGTATAGTTTTTGTCTAAAAAAAGAATATAATCACATGGGATTTGCAGGGAAAGAAATGTACCTTGGCGTAGTAATCTTTCCAAACTCTTCGAGCAATCTGATGGCCTCCCAAATCAAAAGCCTTAAACTTGATTTTGCCAATACTCAATTCCTCTGATGTGGGATACTGTGTTGGCTGATGCTGAACTAATCTCTGCCAAATCCCATTACCAACATCCATTAAAACTCAACTTTGAATCACCTTGCAATTGAAGGACGCGATTAAACCCCATTAAAGGACTAATCTCTACCAAATCCCATCAATGGTAGAACAAGTTTCATAGCCTTAATTATCTCTAATTAAGAGTTTATTAGCATTCAAATCATTGTTAAATTGGAAAAAAATAGAACTTTATTAGAAAAACCAAAAATATTAACACAAATCTAATTCCCAAAATTGTGAAGTGCTTTGATTTAAGCAACATTCATTCAGCAACCATAGAACAATAAATCTAATACAGATATAGTTGAAGTGAAGTGTGACAAAACCTCATCTTTGAGCATGTGAAGCAACGTCGTTTTGCCGGCATTATCAAGTCCTAAAAACAAGATCTTGGCCTCTTTTTGCCATAAGCCAAGAGAAGCAAGGATCCCATAGAACCAATCGAAGAAAAACATGATCTAATTCCTTCACTAAAGATAATTAACCCCCAAAAGAAAAATTCCCAAAACAAAATGGAATCTTCTTATTAAAAATCGGTCAAAGGAAAAAAAAAGTAGAGAGAGAAAGAGTGAAATGTTTGGTGAGACGGTCACAGTGAGTGTTTTGTGGGTATAGAGAACATTAGAGGGTGCGTTGGTTTTGACTGGCTGAGTTGTTGGGAAGGTGCTTTGAGTTAGATATGATAATTGAAAGCATTGTATGATATAAATATAATTTAAAATTTTAATAATAATTTTATATCAATATATAAATTATAATACAAAATTTTTTATAAAATTTAATATAACTATATAAAAAAAATTTTAATAAAAAAATTCGATATAAATAAATTATTTAATCTTTTAGATCAAAATAAAATATATCTTGATTATCTTAAAATTTAAAAATAAATTTAAAATTATTTTAATAAATAATTACTTTTATGATTCAAACTCAAATTTTTTTATTAAAAAAATAAATATTAATTAATTAAATTAATTATTTATTAATATAAATATATAATTTTTTTTTTGCAAAAAAAATTAGTATTTTTACAAAAGAAAAGTAGATGATAGGTGGAATTCATATTTACATAACTTTCAATTTAATTTTTAATCACTAAATTAAAAGAAAAAAATCATATATATATATTTTAATATTTTAGGCAGCGAATCTTCAAATCTACCTTGAATGCTTGAATGACAGGAAAGAGGAAAATTTGATTAAAAAAAATCTAAATTTCTCATATTAAATAACATTTTAATTTCATACTTTTATTAAAATTTAATTAAGGTTGGGCCCAACTAGGTTGCTTTGGGTTTCACTTTTAGCAACCAGATGGGCAGAAGGGCTACGTGGAAATCCAAAATATTGGACACACGTGCCATGCATGCACCCAAAAATGGACCTATAATTTAGTAGTCCTTCTCTAGAAAAGGATGAGCCTTTTTTTAATGGCTCTATTTGAAGATAAAGATAATCCTAGAATTTGATCTGATTTTTCCATTTTTATACTGTTGTTTTCTTCGGGGAATCATCATCTTATACTTTTCTTTCTGGGGGTTAAGAATATAAGCATCCCATATAAAAAATGAACCAAGGGCCAAAGCCCCTTATCCTTATCTTACCCACACTAAGAGAATATTGTTTTGTCATGACATATATTAACGGTAATAATGGTTTAGATCGTATTGAATTTGATTTAATTTTTTAGATAATATATAATATTATAAAAATTTAAAATTTAATTTAAATTTAAATTAATTTTTTAAAAATAAATTTGCTTATAATAAAATTTTATCAGTTTAATTTAATTTATTAATTTTTAATTTTTAAAATTTTTAAATATTATTTTAATAAAAATTTTAATATATGTAAATAGATTTATATAAAAATATTTCTTTTTATTTTATAAAAATTTAAAATATATTTAAAAATTAATAAATATATATAATTTAATTTAATTTTTTATATTTCAATTCAAAATTCAATCTAAATTTAATATATACATTTAATATTTAAATTTGATTTGAATCAAATAAAAAATAATTTATTCAAATTAAATTAAATATTATAATTTTAAATTATTTTTTAAGTTTTTTAAATTTTTTTCTCACTCGTACGGACACACATGTTACTACTGTTTCATGACAATGTCCAAGATTTCTGTGCCACATGGTTAGTCCCGTCAACACCATAGACTTAATTTGCCTTCCATGTTACCATTTTAGGAGGAAAAAATTAATTTGTATATTGATTGGGAGTTGAGTCTCCTTAAGGAGGATCTGTATGTTTGTGTAGCACTATCCAACGAAAAGCTATAACTTGAGGTGATAATGATTTAATTAGGATAAAATTTAATTTGATTTTTTTAAATATTATATGATATTATAAAAATTTAAATTTTAAATCGAATCAAATTTTTATTAAATTTGAATTAAATTAAATTAAATTTATTGATTTATTAATTTTAATTTTTAATTTTTATATATTATTTTAATATATATAAACAAATTTTAATATAAGATTATTATTTTTATTTTATAAAATTTAAAATATATATAACAATTTTAAAAATATAATTTAATTTAATTTGTTTTCTTTTTAATTTTTTGATTCTAAATTTAATTTAAATCTAATATACATTTTTAATATCTAAATTTAATTTAAACCAAATAAAAAATTTCGATTCAAATTAGTTAGAATACTATGATTTCAAATTTTCAAATTTCTCGGTATTTTTTCATACCATAGGTACGACTAGATATACATGACATAGGATACTACAAAACAAAACCAGGGGAATCAATGCAAAAACCGGACAAGACATAGACGCAGCATTAAACAACGAGTCAAACCACTGTCTTGCAAAACCAGCAACTCAAGGATTCAACCAACCAAAGCCAACAAATTCCACAGTTTTTTTTTCCCTCCCAAACATCTGATCCCCCTATAAATATATTTACAAGTACTATCAACGTCGTCCAAAGAACCAAGGTTTCAACTGTTCATTTCCAAACTCCTACTGCCTGATAAAAAACAAGAATCAATGGCTGATGTTGTAGGAAAAAACCGCAAAATCCTGGTGGCCGTCGATGAAGGAGAGGAGAGCATGTACGCTCTCTCATGGTGCCTGAAGAACGTGGTTTCTCCAAATTCCAAAGATACCCTTATCCTCCTTTACGCTAAACCTCCACGTGCCGTGTACTCTGCGCTAGATGGCACAGGTAGGAGACCACAAATTCAAGGTATTTTATGTGAAATTTACAGGCTTTTTGGTAGCAGGAAGAAATGAGCTGATCCAGTGGTGTTTCTGTAATTTCGTCCTCGTTTCAGGGTATTTGTTTTCTGCTGATATATTAGCCACCATGGACAAGTACAGCAACGATGTGGCGATTTGTGTCATGGACAAGGCCAAGAAGATGTGCAAAGAGCTAGCTGATGAGGTGAGTTCTAATAATTGTAATAATCTTGTTTTCGAAGCTCAAAATTGTCTTTTGAGATGAGAATGTTGAATTGACGTGCATGCCCTTTCCGGGGTTAGGTTAAGGTGGAGGTGAGAGTAGAGAGCGGTGATCCAAGGGACGTGATTTGCCAGGTGGCTGAGAAGATCGATGCTGACGTGTTAGTTATGGGAAGCCACGGCTATGGCTTGATCAAGAGGTGGTTCCTCCCTTTCAATTTCCATTTGTTTTTAACTTTTTTTTAATAGCCAGGCTATGACTTTTTGTTAGCTTTTTAGGGACATAGTAAAACATAAGGTAAAAGATTTAGGTAATTTTGTAAGAACAATGTGATATAAGGAGATTAGTCCTTATAAATGGTTATTAAAATTGTGTTAAAATATTAATATAAAAATAAAAATTTAACATTATCAACATTCGAACTTTGTAAGGTATTAATTAAATCTGACTCGATCCATTAATAGACATGAGATTTTAAATTTTTTTAATTGACAGTTAAAAAAAAAACATACCCATGATTGTTAGTAACAAGTTTGATGATTGGCAGGGCTTTCTTGGGGAGTGTGAGCAATCACTGTGCACAACAAGTAAAGTGTCCAGTGCTGATTGTTAAGAAGCCCAAATGTTCTTCTTCTGGAACCAACTGATTGGGATACATTTCTATGTCCAAATTTCACTTCTTGCGCCATTGTATATGTTTCTGTTGTATGCTTCAGTTGTTCTTGTTGTATCCTCATCTCTTTTGTCTTTGGTCCTTTCTTATTTTTCTCAATCAAGTTTTATGTATTTTTTGTGCATGTAACAAGTATTAAGTTTCCTTCTTCATTTTACTTCATGTTTTTCCTTAATTATTATCATTTTATATCAATTATTAATTAAAATATATTTCTATTTTAATCAAGATTTTTTAGATTTGACCAATTCAACAATGAAACTAATGAAACTGGGAGTTTCTAATTTAAAATCCTTATTATCTCAATCTTCCACTAGTCAATGACTTAAAGAGTGGTTAGAGAGATTCAAGTTTGTTATTCAAAGACCAGAAAATATCCTATATCTCTATTTCAATATTTTTTCATTCCTCATTTCAAGGAATTTAAAATTAAATGCTTCATTTCATTAAAAAAAATAAAAATTCAAAGACTTAATGTCAACATAAGTTGTTCAAGAGAGCCAAATGGCTCCATCCTGCATTTGACTCAAAATATTTGCATATGAATTAAACACTCAATTTTGCTCAGCTTGGTAATTTTTTTGGGCTCTGTTTTCACAGGATTACTCAAGATTTTTCTCAAACTCCTATAATCTCTCTGTCAGTTCAACTCTAGCAGATATTTTGCATGCAGTCTCTCTATCACTTCATTAATTGCATTTCCTCACTTGAAGGTTTATAGAAGAGGCTGTTTCTTTTTCATTTCTGTTACTAACATCTCAAAAAATGTAATTTCTTTTCTCATTATAATACTTCCGACGAACTGTTACAAGTTTGAATTGAATTTTCTATTCTCTTTATCAATTTTTGATGCTTCCGTTCAAATCTAGGATTATCTAAGTTAAATGCCAGCCCATTATCTGCAGTTCGTTTCATTTTCTTAAACTGACTCTTCACACTTGAGATTTCAATAAAGAGATTTCTAATCTCTTGAAAAGATAGAATGACACACTACATAAGAATATTACAACATCCATAATACATATGATCCAGAAAAATCTGCATGTCAATTTTATATGAAAAACCGCATAGATACTCATGTAAAAGGTAAATCCCATGTCAAAGAGGAGATTGTTTTATTTGCAGTATTTTGCAATTTGAAATATTTTTCATTTTTTGCATAAAAAAACGTGTTAATGTCTCGTGATTATTATCTCTTTCCTTAAAATTGACTTATCATAATGTGTAGCGTTAATATTTTTATATTTCAATGATCCTCATTTCATGTGTGATATATAATTGAAATATTTTTTTTATTTTTTTTTGGAACGTTAACGTGATATTTTTTTTATTCAATCTCAAATCATTTTTGTCACGAAAATTAACTATTTTATTTACATATTTCGAAACGTTTGACATGATCGAACAATCCAAAATTTATTCTAATATCACCTATCACGATTGCCTGAAATTTAAACTTAACTATGTGCGATTTTATGCTAGAAACTACCATTCGTATATCTAAGTAAGCCTTTAACTAACTTAATTCCGTGCATTAACTGATTGTGTCGTACACTTGTGCTAGAATTCAACCTTCTTAGAGTGAGAAAGCTAGAAAAGGAAAGACTAAGCCAAGAGTAATATATTTACTTGATGGTGTATTTACACTTGCTCTTGGAACACAATCAATCCCTGTATGTTCTCTTGCTGTCCCCTCTTTATCCTCTTTTGTCTCTATATGTCTCTCTATGTATTTACAAATAAGGGAGAGGCTCTCTCATTTATACTTGAACCCCATTGGTTCTTATGGCTTAGATGAATCCAAGTGTATGACCATTAAAGGCCTTCTGGAGAGTTCTAAAGTGCTGAGGCCCTTGCAAGGTTGGCTAAGGCCTTTTCTAGAGACTTGTCGATTTCATGCAGTCTGCTGAGCCCTTGGGAGTAGAAGGGTCTGGGCACTATAGTACTTCTGTCCATTTGCACATTTGGCCTTTCAAGAGGGTTACATGCCCGTCCCTTTGGCATGGGTCTGGCTTATCTAGAGCTTTCTCAAGTCCTATGCCCGTACCATTCTTTTGGGACTGTCTAGAAGCTTTGCTCGACTAATCAATTCTTTATTTATTAAAAAATTGATTAATTTAATTATCAATTTTATAAATTAAAAATCGATCAATTTAATTAATTTAATTAATTAAAAAAATCAACTATAATTAAAATAAAATAAATCAAATTGAATGATCTTTTTGTATTGATTTAAGTCAGTTAAATAAGTTTGAATTGATTTTTGCTCATTTTTATTAACCTTTCCTCATTTTTGATAAGTTAAAAACTGAAAATTAATTTTTTAAAAAATGGTAAAATTAGCACTATGCTTTTCTTAACAGTTTTTAAAATTTTCATTTCTTTTTTTTATAAATACATTTCACCATGGGAGCCAATAATAAAAATGTGTGTCCATTACACATATTTGTAATTTTCCGTACTTAAAATTTTTGGTGAGTGAGTGAGAGCGGATGGGCGTCTTCTAAATGTCAATTATGTTTTCAACTTTTATTTTAGTTAAAATAATAAAAAAAATTAATTTTAATTTTAAATATTTTTTAATCTTTAATTTTTACTCAAAATTTTAATTTTTATTTAAATAAATATTTAACATTTTAATTTATACTTAAATAGAATTTTAATGTAAATTATTTTTTATTTAAATATAATCAAAATATAAAAATTTATTTAAATACAATAAAAAATAAAAAATATGGAGTCTAATTTTGTCACGTGTCACTTGCTTGGTATTTTGGGATCCCACAAAAGGTTTAACCTCTGAATTCTTGGGCCACCTGTTTTAGGTCCCAAACTATAGGGTTCAAAGGGGATACAGGCCCTAGTCTTCATACAAGCCTTCAAAGGCCCAAATTTTGAAAGATTTTCATTCAACCACACTAGCTCAGTTTAGAAAGAAAGAAATAATATTTTCGAAAATAAAAAAATAAAAAAAGAATTTTTGAGATTGAAACAAAAAATTCAACATTCTACGGATCATGTTCAACCTTAAACTTAATTGTTTTAAAGAACCATATCATAATTCATAGTTTTAATCAAACATAAAGATGCATCAAATTTTCATTTAATTCCTAAATGGTGTTTAATGTTCTTCTAATACCCACAGTTACCTTGATCCTACAGCACCCTGAGCCGGATTTGCGAAACCAGCGGCATTACCCCCAGAATAATTCTCCAGCCAGCTTGTTCCCCTGTCATTTTAGTAATTACATCCACTTCATAAACTAATCTTCAATTCTCCTTCTTAAATGGTTTTTTTTCTTTTTCACCTCTTATAACTTGATGGCAGGGTATTTGTGGCTATTTAACAGTGAAGTTGCGCATGCTGACCAAACAAACCAAAGATAGTACTATGTTGTATTCATGATGTGAATAATACAAGAAATCGATTTCGGGTATTGAAGCAACTTCAAGATTGCTACTTCCTTTAAATTCATCAGCATTAAATTTAGCAAGATCACTGAGTTCATTTCTAAATGGAACTGAACTGCCATTTGTTGCCATTCAAACAAAGGTACATGTCAAATTAAGTTAGAACTTTGGTTTTTTTTTTTTAAGTGACAATCTGAACATGAAGGTAAATGCATAAGCGAAATGACGCGAAAAATTTACTGGTGTTTTTGTTCTATTTCAGATTGTACCAACATTATTTGTTACCCTATCAACGATTCCACATCTAGCACAGATTTCCTTTTTCATATTACAATGATAAGGACCAAAAGGTAGCAATATTTTCCAACACTTCCTTTTCTTCCAACTGGTTTGGTATGTCGGTGAACCGTGATACTGGGATGTTATACGGAGAGGCAGTTGCTTCAAAAAGCTATGGTTAAAATAAATGAAAGCTTGTTTCAAGAAGCCTTGAATCGGACGAATTGTGTACTCTTCACTAGGCAAAGGATGGAATGGGGCTCAAGAGAGCCTATTTCTTACCACTGTTGCTATGGATTGAAGGGGTGTTATAACTGTTGGATTTCCAGCTGAAGCGGTTGTCGATCATTTTGCAGCATTAGATTTTAATGGCGGGTATTTTCACTTGGCTACTGCAGACGGGGATGTGATTGTGCAAACAAGACTTCCAAATACTGAGATAATAGTAAATAATAGCACAGTTTCAGTTCATTCATTGAAACTTGATGGTGGTCAGATACGTAGTATAGGTAATGTTTCATGTGTGTCTGCTAATGGGAAATTAGGATCCTTTAATAATAGAATCATGGGAGTTAAACACACATTTTAATGTTCCACCATTGAGATTGTTGGAGTTCAACCATTAAGTCACTCTGCATCAATGGAAGACCTTAATTTTTTGAATTTCAAAATAGCATCCAAGCCAAATATTTTGCTAATTGAGTCAATCAACATCTACAACTTGATTTTCAGGTATATGTGTTTAGCTTGTCCCAGGCATGGATTGATAAGCCTCGTCCAAAGGAACATCAAGCTATCATTAATGCTTCTTGTGTTCATGTTTATATCCATATATATTGAAATATATAGATGTTAGAACTTTATGATTGTCAGAAATTCTCACACTGGAACGTGTGGCATACCTAACTACTTTTCATGGCAACAAATGAACAGAGTTCTTATTGAGGTCGTTTTGTCTGATCTGTATTTTGGTGTAGGACAACTTTGATGACCATTCCTTTACTTCATAAAAGGAAAGCAGCCTAAAAGAAGTTTTATGTAGGGATGTAAATGATACATTAGTATTCGTAAATTATTCGAATTTGATTTGAAAAAAATTTGAATTCAACTCGATTATTATCGAGTCGAGCTCGAGTAGCTCGATTTATCGATTGAAGTCAATTCGAGTATTCTTATATCTGACTCAAGTAATTCGCGAACTTAATCGAGCTTTTATATTTAAATATATTTTTATTATTTTAATTAATAAAATATTTCGAGTTCGAATTTGAACATAAATAATCGAACTTTTATCGAGTATACGAATCGAGCTTAATTTTACATATTAATTGAGTTTAATCGAACGAGCTCGAATAGCTCGAATTCGATCACGAATCGAACTCGAGCTTGAAAAATAAAACTCGATCGAATTCGAGCTGAATATCGAGCCTCGAGTTGTTAGTCGAGCTCGAACTTCTCCCTGTATCG